AATGCTGCACGACCTCCTTTCAGATCCTTCTTGAGGTTAGCAATCTCGACCGCGTTATCATCAACAGTCTTCGACAAGCGCTCGTTCAGAAGGATGATCTGAGAAAACCCGATCTGTGCCTGCAATGCATAAACGAGATCAGTTAAAAACAATGACTGAGAAAACTCAATCTGAACCTGCAACGCATAAAACGGACCACTGACCCCAAAAAAGAACTGGGAAGCGGTTCCCGCTAGACGGCGGTTGCTCTCCGGAGATGTGGCTGTATACTCATTCGGCATTACCAGCTGCTCACTAATTGTGTGGAATGCCAGCTCAGCCGCCTCCGTGTCAGTGGCGGCCTTCGAAGGGGTGTTCACAAGACTAGGCTTGTCCGACTGCTTCGCCCCCTTACCACGCCTGTCCTCCGCCTTAGACGGGGAGCCGCGTACCTTGGCACGCTTCGAAGCTGCTTCCGGTGACCCTAATGGCAGTACTCTTTTCCCCGCCCCGCGAGACACAGGAATCGCGCCATCGCCGGTCGCATTTGGGGAATCAGCATCCAGGTGGATAGGCGACGCCGGGGGCGGTTCATTCTGTACGAGTGCAGCAGAGGAAGACCCGCCACCCGCTCGAGCGGTCTTCTTCACATCCACTTTCTTCCTTCTCTGCCTGTTTGCGTCCGCCAGCTCCCTCAGCCCTGGAGAAGGAAAGCATAAGTAAAGACATGAGAAAATAAACACCAAAGCCAAAAGAACACATTACTAACCGTAAAAGCCACGAACGAGCTGATAAGCGCTGTCAGAACCGCTGTGTCGGACTCGCAATTGAACAACCTCTACAATGCGGTCTACATGGTCACGCACTGATTGAGGGAACAAGTTGGAATCGCACCAAGCGTCCTTCGATCCAACCGCGTAACCGGTAAGCGGTTCAGCATCGCCACTATACCATTTCCAAGACGGCTTGGCAAAAAAGAATTCCCTATACCAGGGAGAGTCCAACTTCGGCGCCCCGGTGACAAAACCGACTGAAGTCTCCCGCCGCCCGATCGACCAGCAGTTGGTCGAATCCCTGATGTTATAAATCAACCTGAACGCCTCAAAAGACGGCTCTTCTTTAACGCGGTCACACGCTAGGCGGTTTGGTCAATTGCATGTCGTGATCGGCTTCATCCTTCTAGGATGGGTGGGACTGGCTACACCAATTCCTACTGCTTGCTGCACTAGGATTGAAAGCACTTGTTTCTTTGCCGTTTGTTTGCGAGGAAGCTTTGCTGTCTCGACGAACGGGTATACCTTATTAGAATAGGTTTATGCTTTCCCTGCATAGGTCGCATACTCCTGTAAAAGGAGATGCCCTCTCGGAGCTTCCTCCAGCGAAGTATGCTTGCTGAGGACGGATTGGTACGAAATGAGAATGTTGGCAAGAGTAGAACGAGTCCCCTTTTGTTATAGGAAGGACTTACCACCAACATACTAACCCTCTCACTAGACTTCGTTCCTCTCCCTGCTTCTTTTTAATTTCAATATGCGACATCACGGAATGAAAGATGATCGTCGGAGAGAGCCGCCCCAAAGTACAGTTGAGCCAATGCAACACCTTCGTTAGAATGGGATCCAGTGGAAAACGGAGACCCAACTTAACATGCTCAACGTGTATCGGTATCCAACCGCTAGGGCAAGACCCAGAGCGGCTAATCTCCGAAGGCGCCGCATACTGCCAGTCCGAGGGCATGCGAAGAGTCTTAAGACGGTGCAACACCTGCCCGGGTTTAGAAACCGTCCCCGAGGTCTTAGGCCCTTGCTCGAACACCTCCTCCGGAATGTGCGCACCCTCCCACATTCCTGCGTGACGTAGAACAGTGTATACAGGATCTTGTATAGCCACCAAGAGCGGTCTCGGCTCGCCAGACTCTAACACCTCCAAAGAGGAGAAAGTACTAGGAGCGGTCTCCGACCGTACACCATCACTGCTCACCTCCACATCCTCCTCCGATGAAACACTACCTAATCCTATCCGCTCAAATTCCCCAAGATTATCCCCGACCGCCAACGACGTGGCCACAACCCCAACTGGCACAGGGTGGAGGTTAGAACAAGAGTTATCTAAGTCTACACAAGTCCCAACAAGGCAATCTCGCAATTCATACCCATCTCCAACATATAACTCTAACCCTGATAAATCCCACACGCATTCAGACGTGCTTCGACGGGAGAAGAATGATTCGTACCTTGAATGACTAATTTGTTTAGTCAACCACACAAAAAATTGAACCAATAACCAAGAAAAATAATTGTTATTTTCCTTAAAACATTAATCCTAACATGTATGAATAATTTTGATACTCTAAATCTTAGTACATAACAAAGATACAAAGTAAAAGCATCCCAGCTTGCACCATAATGTCATAAATATTAACATAATGTCATATGGAGATACAATTATCTCTACTCTGTGGTTAAATGTGGTTGTGAATGAAGGAGAAAAGAGATTCACAAAATTAAGTTTGAGACTTGGGTGTCGTTGTGGGAGTTTGGAGAGTGGTCGAATGGGCTGTTAACACGTATTGACAAGTCAGTTGGGTCTACGGTTTGGTCCGGTAAACCGCGGTCTAGACCAGACCAGACCAAGAGATCAAATTATAAAATAATACAGACCATGGACCAGACCATACCATACTTCACGGTCTACGGTCCGGACCAAACTGTGCGGTACGGTTTGGACCACGGTTTTTCTAACGGTCTGGTCTATTTTCCCAGCCCTACACCGCGGGTCCAGAGTCGGCAATCGGAGTGTTCCCCGCGTCGGGGGCATCGTGCCTAGACCCGCTGACCGGAGATGGACGACCTTCACTCGACATCTGCCGGCGGCGAATACGAGCGGGCCCAACGATTCCCCACAACCCAAAGCAACAACGTCGCCCACAAAGAATAACAAGCGGGTCAGCAAACCCAAGAAAAATCGCGCGTCCCAAACAAAAAACTCAAGTCAAAACTCACCTGGTGGATCGAATTTATAGCCGGCGAAGTAGAAGACTTTGGAGCTTCTCGCAGAGAAAGAAAAGAGGAAGAAGACGAAGAGATTTCCCAAACCGGAGGAGAGTGGCGAAAATCTCTCTCAAAATCCTACTTAAAGGCGAAAAAGGAAAGAATGACGTTTGATGAGACCTTTTTCGCGAACCCGAAGTGGAACACCCCCAGAGGTGACGTTCCGCCTGCCGGCGTCAGGGCTCCGCGCCCGATGCATGACACGTGGCGACTATGAGATCGAATAACTAGGACGGATGCGGTCTTCGCCCCTCAGACGCCCTCACGATACGCTTCCGCGACTAGGGGCAACAAAGGAGCGCACTCAATGCGGTCTCGAACCGCCCAACGTGTACTATGAGCCAGAAGACCCAGAATCGTTCAATATTGGGCAAAAGTATCGTTTAGCCGCGAAAACCTATCGCTTCCCCCGCCTAAGGGGCAAATGTTGGGCCAAATATTGAGACACTTGGACTCCAGGCCCATAGCCACTTAAGGCCCATAAAACAGGTTGGGCCCAAACAGGGGCAGCAGGCCACCCAACTGGCTGAAGGCGGTCTTCCCCTACAAACAGGACGGAAACCGCCCGACATGGAGGAAAGACCGCCCGACATAATGGCAAACGGACACCTGCTCCTGACCTCCTCAGGTACGGAGTCTGACAAAGTACGGAGTAGTCAGTACTGTCGAAGGCGTCCCAGGACGCCCGACAAGTCATTAAATGCCCACGATCCGCTTACAACTAGTATAACTACCTGATGATGAGCCACATTGATGGTAACATTCTACCAACTCCCTTCTCTCTCTTATTTACTCATACTTCACTTCTCTCTCTAACTTAAGCATCGGAGGAGGTCCCAGGAACCCCCTGAGGACCTTTCTGCAGGGTTTCTGAGACCGCCCTCGACCATCGAAGCCGTCCAAGGCCAGTGGAGTCTCACAAACCGCTTGGAACAATCCAAACACAAACAGGTTTAGTGACTATATCCTCAAATCCTAGGATCCTATAAATTCATGGAGTACGATGATTTTTTTTGTTGAACCAACACAAAACAATTTGTGAACTAAAATATATTATGTTGATCCTTCTAAAAAACAAAGACAAAAGATGATTATTCGAATAGAAGAAGAGACAAGGAAATTTGGGTTGAAAAAGAATATTTAACAAGCAGAAGTGGGAAATGAGAATTCCTCTGGGGATTCCAAAAGCTGTCCTTTTACGTGAATTCCAAAAACCAAATCCCAATTTTTGGAGTTGGTGAGCCGCTCAACCAGCTAGGGCTGGAAAAATAGATCAGACCGTTAGAAAAACCGTGGTCCAAACCGTACCGCACAGTTTGGTCCGGACCGTAGACCGTGAAGTATGGTCTGGTCTGGTCCATGGTCTGTATTATTTTATAATTTGATCTCATGGTCTGGTCTGGTCTAGACCGCGGTTTACCGGACCAAACCGTAGACCCAACTGACTTGTCAATACGTGTTAACAGCCCATTCGACCACTCTCCAAACCCCCACAACGACACCCAAGTCTCAACCTTAATTTTGTGAATCTCTTCCCTCCTTCATTCACAACCACATTTAACCACAGAGTAGAGATAATCGTGTCTCCATATGACATTATGTTAATGTTTATGACATTATGGTGCAAGCTGGGATGCTTTTACTTTGTATCTTTGTTATGTACTAAGATTTAGAGTATCAAAATTATTCATGCATGTTAGGATTAATGTTTTAAGGCAAATAACAATTATTTTTCTTACTTATTGGTTCAATTTTTTGTGTGGTTGACTAAACAAATTTGACTAAACAAATTTTTCATTTTTCGTTGAGTGTGGTCTATCTGGACCAGACCAGACCGAACCAGACCGCACAGGCGTGGTCTGGACCAGACTGTATAGTCTGTGGTCTGGTCTGTGGTCTATACTTTAGCCTCTCGGTCTGGACCGTAGACCGTATATATGGTCTGGTCTGGACCAGACCGCACCGTTTCCCAGCCCTACAACCAGCCACTCAAACAATAATCAATAAAGAAGAAATCAAAGCTGTTGAATAAATAAAAATAAAAAAAATCATAGGAAGACATCTTCTTCTTCCGCGCTCGATTCAAAGGAGATTCGGCCGGCAATTTCTACTTACCTTCCGGTTCCGGTTGTTCCCGGGCAGATAATTTCATCGCCATAGCTACGAATTCTCTCCAGAGAAATACAGAGAAGTGAAGCCGCCGACTCTCTCGTTCTCTACCCCGCGGCGCTCTTCGCCTCCCATTTTTGTTTGATCGATCGTCATGTCGTTTTCCTTCTTCAAGCCGTCGCGGCCCAAGACGCCGCAGGAGGTGGTGAGAGCGATCAAGGATAGCCTCAACGCTCTCGATACCGAAACCGTCGTCGATGTTAAAGCCCTCGAAAAGGTTAGTCAATCCTACAAATCCATTTCCTTTCAATTTTAAGCTCTCCAGGACTGTCTCCAATTTCATGTCTTTTACATTTTGTCTCCTTTAGTCTCGAGTGCGATTGCTGTTTCTAATGGTGATTATATGCCGCTTCTTAAGCTGTCAATTTCTGTCTAGTTCGGAGAAATTGAACTTGGTTTATTATGAGGTTTGTAATTGAAGAAAGAACTGTTAGTTGGGAGCCTAGAGGACGCTGCCGTTTGTCTGGGTTCGTGATGGAGAACGATATGTTAGTGTGGTTGATTTCAGGAATCGGTGGCCCTTGTGGCTATCCAAACTGTGTTGGGAAAGAGGGAAGGGTTGGTGGGATAAGAGTGTGCCGGTGAGACTTTGCTTTGAGTCAAGGGAGCAATTTGGCGGAGATATCATGTCGATAGTCCTGTTATTTCTGTGATTAGTAGTTGTACTTGTGGATTCAGTTTGGATGTCTTTTGACACTTGACAGGCATCGGAAGAAGTTGAGAAGAATTTTGTGACTTTGAAATATATGCTCCAAGGGGATGCAGAGGTTGAACCGAATATGGAACAAGTTTCGCAGCTAGCCATTGAGATATGCAAGGAGGATGTGCTTACTCTTATGGTTCACGAGTTACTCAATTTAGGATGGGCAGTAAGTATAGGCATTCATGGTGGTTACTTCTTTTGGCTGGCATTCGTCATATTGATTTCTTGTTGATTCTCACTTTGCTGATGCAGGCAAGAAAGGATTTAGTCCACTGTTGGTCAATATTGTTGAAGCATAAGGTTGAGTCGACTCATAGCTGCGTGGAGTATATTGAGAATCATTTGGAGTTATTAGATTTTCTTGTTGTAAGGTAAGCTTGTGTATCTCTTTCCATTTGATCTTGTCTTCCATATTCATGATGGGAGTTAAAAAAGAAGAGATGTTTGGACATGGTAATTCAGTGAGCTGAGGAAGAGAATGCTTTGCCACCAATGTGATTATAAGAGCATCATTTTGCAGAGGCACTATGTCCAACTGGGTTTGAAGTTTCGTGTAGGTAGGCTCCGAATGAGATGACAATGCATTAGGATCGGTACTTCAACTGTCTAGGCATCTATACTTTATATTACCTGAAAAAACTAACTCATGTGTTCAGCTTCTTCTACTTAATATCAGTATCTTGAAAAACAGTGGGATAGCCTCAATTGTTGCTCAAGATCTTTATCTTCGGGTACTTATCAAATTCAGTGTTACTACATGGGACTTATTCTTACCTCTTTTCACCAGCTATGATAGCAAAGAAATTGCCTTGAATTGTGGACAGATGTTAAGGGAATGCATCAAATTTCCAACACTTGCAAAGTAAGACATTCAAACTCGTTGTTGCTTTTGCCAGTCCTTAGTATTGTTATCAGAGCCAGCAGTATTTATTTTGGTTTTTAATGCGTCTTCTAGAAAATTTCTTGCTTTAAGAACTGAAGTAACGTAATTGTATCTTTCGAAAAAAAGTTATGTTACTCTTGGTTATGGAAGGTTAAAGTTAGCTTCAGCAGGACACTAGTTCCACCCTTTGCTATTTTTTATTAATTAAGGAGAATTGTGAATATGTCTCTGCTTGTCCATATCCTTGCAAGCAGAGCAACACAATTTTTGTACTGGGCAGATACAATTTGTAACATTGGGATGGTCCTTGAAAAGCAAAGCTTGTTGCTCTTTTTCTATTGTTGTTTTTGATTGTAGTCCAGTTTTAAGTTTTCACCCTGTCAAACTTTTATAGTGGTCTTTCAGATACATACTAGAGTCAGCATGCTTTGAGTTGTTCTTCAAATTTGTGGAGTTGCCTAACTTCGACGTTGCTTCTGATGCCTTCTCCACTTTCAAGGTCAGTTTTATTTTGTCTGTTTACCTTTTCATTTTCTATGTTCCAGTTATACTCACTTGACATTTGCTTCCATCGCTTATCAGGATTTGCTTAGTAAACATGATACAATAGTTGCAGAATATCTTACTGCACACTATGCTGAGGTATATGTCCTGACAGCCTGTGTGATCTGATTATTATTTCCTTTTTCTGAAAGATTCTTAACCTGATATGCAGCTAAATGTTTCCACAACATAGACTAAAGATTATTGTATGCTTAGACTGTGTCTTTCAAATTTGGTACTCAGCATACTACTGTTCATAGGAGAGTGTTATACATGCCCCAGCGTGTTCAAATGTGTAATATTTACCTAGACAAACATAAGAAAACGCCATCCACCCGGTGCCTTCATTTAATAGTTTTGACATTTTTGCTGTCATCCTTCCTCTTTCATCTTGCTATATAAAACCATGTCACGGAAATGCAGCTTTCTCTTAAAAGTAATGCTTGTTCTATTTGGTTGCATGTCTAAAAGGGTTAAGTTGTTTTTTTTCTTTTCTTTCTATTATAGTTCTTTGATCTGTATGACAAACTTCTCACATCCCCTAATTACGTGACAAGAAGGCAATCAGTGAAGGTTAGTCTCCAAACGTAGTAGTAATTTCTTAGACTTGCCTAATTTTGTTACGTTTAAGCTAATTGTTTCTTGTTTGTGGATTTAGCTTCTCTCTGAGTTCCTTTTCGAGCCTCCAAATTCCAGCATAATGAAGCGCTTTATTCTCGAAGTTCACTACCTAAAAGTCATGATGACATTGCTTAAGGTACTATATGCTAGTCCTTTGTAGAACCTGATTCCACGTCTCTTCTCCCCCCATTTTGATTAGTCAATTGAATGTCTTAGACTAGTTCTCAATTATAGTGAAAATATGTTACAAACTGAAAACCACTTGATTCTTTAATAAAATGATTTTCTCGAGCTCATTAGAGCTGTGGACAGAAATAGAAGTGTAGGCCATTCAAGGAAACATGATTTCTACAACCTCGACTCGAGGAAACAAGAGTGTAATTTGTCAGAAGGCCAGTCAAGAAAACAATTAGATGCTTTAATCTCAATTTCTCGATTACTTGAATCTGTCTTTAGGGTTACTTATGATTGGATCCAAGTTACCGGCTGTGTGTAGTGATTAGGATTTTGGCTCGACTTTTGGTGTCATATCTTGGCTTGGGTTCTCTCTTTATGGTTTCCATCTCTTTCATTCTCATTAGTTGCGTATTTGAAAGGAATACGTGCTCCTTGGATGATGGAACCCCATGCAGCATGCATCTTACCTTCCAAGTAGCTCCATAGGTTAACATATGGATAGGTAACCTATCAGGAACATTTTTCACTGTGATGTCATTGTTGCGTGTGATACAATTTGCCATTCTAGTGCTGTATTTCTTTAAGTGTGGAGTTTGATCTGTTTTAATGGAGATAACTTGAGTTGATTATTGATGTGTGGAATTTGCCTTCAACTGAATGTTACTCTGTTTAAACCCGGCCTCTGATATTCCGCTCTTAAACTTCTACGAGAGGCCTTGCTTTCAGTCCTTGGGTGTTTATCTTTAGCCTCGCTCTTTAAACCCAACCTGGTCCGACTCTCGGCATCTAGTGATGTAGTAATGTGTGTGTGCTTGCTAGATCACAGTGTTGGAAGTTTATGTCCAACGCACCTACAGAAACTGGGTCATGTCGGTACATATACTAGGTCAGGCTAGCTACATTCTTCTTTATCAACTGCTTTGACTGATTTGTTATTATGTCTGGACAGGACTCGAGTAAAACCATTCAGATTTATGCTTTCCACATTTTCAAGGTACAGATTCTCCTGCTCTTTCTTCCATCGTATAGAATTTCCCCTGCTTTTACAATCCTGATTTCCAACCTCCATACAAAGCACAAGGATTCCTAATTCCTCTTGTTTTTTTTGTTTTTTTGTAAGCAGGTCTTTGTTGCTAACCCTAACAAGCCACAAGAAGTGAAAATGATCTTGGCCAGAAATCATGAAAAGCTGGTGGAATTGCTCATAGACCTCACAGTTGGGAAAGGTAAAAAACCTGCTAAAATCTCTGTAAATCCTTCTTGGTCGAGGTGAGTAAAACATCTCTTGCGGTCTCAACAGGTTCAGAGGACGAACAGTTCGAAGAGGAAAAGGAAATGATCATCAAGGAAATCGTAAGACTATCTCGCGTGCCTAATCTTCTGAACAGTTAGGCTTGTGTTCGTTCTCGCCACGATAAATGCCTTTTATCTCGTATTACTGTTACTACATGACGATTCTCTGCAACCATCTGCATTTTGTTCGATGAAATTCAGTTGTTTCTGTATTTGAGGCTTTGGAGAAAGCCCTGCCCAACTGCATTCCTTCCTCCCTTCGCCAAGTAAATAGAAGATAAGTATACATCTGCGCATAACTAATTATTTCGAGCTTCAATTCAAGTAGCCAAACAGACAAATTATTCACTTCCCGAAACCCCACAAGAAATCTGTGTTGTCACTATTTCTCTGAGGAAAAAGCCTTTCACGGCGAGATAAAAGTATGTAAATATAGAGTTTGTGTATAAATGATACACAAAAATTTCTTCGCGATCACAATGAGACGAGTCTCTCTTTCAAAAATGATGTTTCTTTTCTCGCCGGCTGAATGATGGAGCTGGTACTGATGTAGAGAGTGAAGGGACCAAGGTTGGGGGTGGATTTGGGGACAATCAAAGCAGCCAAATAATGGCGGTGAGCCCTGCAAGTACAGTGACGTTTCAGTCGTGTCGAGCCAGCAGTCCTTGTTGCCAGAGATAGAGGGTACGAGTTGGGATGAAATTGAAGATAGTGGAGGCAATGGAGACTGCAGCAACAACAACGGAGAGAAGGCTGCAGGGGTTGGGAATACAGCAGCCGTAAGTCGAGTTGATTTGAGGAAGCGGTTGGGTTATGCCGAGGAAGAGGAATCTGTCAAGCATTGATCGATTGAAGCCCGATAATGGTTAGTTAGTGCCTCTGGATACAACTTGCAGACCAGCAATGAACTTGCTGCAGTACCATCCTAGCCCTAGGAGTAGTTGCTGATAACGTTTAAACATCACAGAGAAAGCAGCAAAGAATGATGGATCATTTTCTATACTCAAAATTACAAATCAAAGATAGAATCCCAAGTATCGATCTCCATCAGTTTGTGATGGTAGAAATCAGAGACATTGCTGATTATGTTTGGAGACTGCGGAAGGTAATCTTGCAGAGAAACTCGAGAGGGTACATAATTCGTAATAACCTTTACACAAATTCCTTCGATTAGAACATCGCCGAACTCTCCAGTCTCGAGATGAAATGGGATTAGGCTGCGATCTCCCCAGTAGTCCCCATGTTCGTCGACGACCATATCAGTAGGAACCGTCGTGAAGAAAAACTTCAAACCACTCGAAAGTCCATCGCAACTCTCAATGGTCATCCCGGGAGGACTCGAAACGACGTACAGTTTCATCCAAGACTCCGACACCCAGTACTTCATCAGCACCCAGACGTCCCACGACGCGCTAAACTTTCTGTCTTCGTATTCGTCCTGGTTCTCCTCGTAGTACTCGGGGAAGACAGCCACCATCGATTCCTCGTTCAGCAAACAATTCGGAGTATCGTAAGGTTTCTCCGAATCACAATGCACCTCGACTACTTCGAACAATTCGCTCGCAATGTCGAACGAATCGAACACCAAACCCTTGCTCTGCCCCGTCGAGCGCCACCAGTACATCTTCCCCTTACGGCACTGCGGGATCCTCGGAGAGCCGAGCAGCGGGCAGCCGCCGTCAGGCAAACTCCACCAGGAATTGTTCCTCAAACTATATACCTCCGAGATATAGAGACGTCTCCCGATACCTAATTCGTCGAAGAAAAACTGCCTGACGATTTTGTAGTCGTCCCTTTCCGAATCGAAACCAAACCCCACCGCGCCGATCAAAAATTCGCGACTCGGATTGGCGACGGGGGAAGGCGGGAGGACCTTGAATTCGGAGGTCGCCGGGTTCCAGAGGATTAGATCCTCGTCCTTCCTGCTGCGGTACTCGAGGATGCAGAGCAGGCCGTTACAGCATCCTACAACGCTCAAAGTCGGACAATCGCCGGCTCTACGGGGCCTGTTTTGATTGAAGGGGAGCTGAAGGGGAGAGGGAAGGAGGGGCTCCAGCGTGTCGGGAGAGAGCAAGCGGTGAAGGTGCCGTAAAACGCCGCCGGTGCGGTCAGTCCACTCGACCATGAATTGATGATCGGAAGCAGAGGAAGCGAGATTGTTCTTGCGGATGAAAGATGGGTCGGAGAGGAGATGGCTCCATGATTTGCAGACGCAGCGGAATCGGGCGATGGATGAGCTGACCTGAAGCTTGGATAAGATGCCAGTGATCAAATCCTCCGGAATTTCGTCGCTCATAGTAGGCGGCGATTTGGAGGGCAGTTGCCGGCCGGCGAGTATTTGATGCGAGTTTGTGTTTACTGTTTAGGGTTTTATTTTTATATATGTTCAATGGTCGGCCGTCAGCACATATCAGAGTAGTGGACGGACCAGGGTGAATTGCAAACTTGGTCACCCATATTACTCATTTATAACACTTTAGCCACCCGAATCGAAAACCATTCAAGTTAGCCACTGATACTACACGTTTATGTCATATTTGGTCACTTGCCGTCTAGTTCCGTTAAGTCTGTTCTAGGTGGCAGTCAACTCTAACGTTTGACCATTAAAAAGCTGATGTGTCATTTAAAAAATAAATAATTAATAAATTTAAATGTCTTATATTTTACAGCTCACAATTTCAATTTTCAATTTATTTTAATAAAAATAGTTCACTTTACCAACTAACACACAAATTGCCGACCTCCTATGCCGCAAATCCGCCATCGCAATCTCCGCCGCCATCACCGTCGCACTCTCTGAAAGAAAAATAGGCAGAAAGAAACTGCGAAATCGACCTCTGAAGAACTTTCTCCCAAATCTACCAGCTCCCTTCTGTCTCTCCCTTTACAAAATCCGTCGTCGCCGGTTCTTCCTCCTCCATCAATATCTTCCGGAACCAGTGGCGCCAGCAAGGGCGCCGTGCTGACCCACGACAACTTGATAGTTGCAGGTAGCTCTTCGTGAGGTTCGAAGCATCGATGTACGATTTCCTAACTCCAGAGAACGTTCTGTTCACCCCGATTGCCATATGACCATCAAATGCTTCTTCTCTGGATCTAGCCCCATCAGCTCTAGTCCTCAAAGCTCCCAATTCCTTCACGAAGGATGCATAATCATGCCCGGCCTCTTCCCAGATAATTCTCTTATCAGAGATCTCCGATGAGGGACCCAATTCCCTCGACCAACCGGCGTCGGAGTAACTATCAACGTTATCCCCCTTCAATTTCCCGTCTTTAGCCTGCTTGGCTTTCAACCTCTTGATCAAAATCTCCAAATCATCGACAATCTTCCAAGTATCGTCGAACAAAATACCGTGGTTAGGAGAGACAGCCCACGCCGCAGTCCGCTGCTTCTTCTGCGCCTCAATTACTCTCTCGTCGGCAATCGACGACGACGCCTCCGCCGCTTCCGAGATCCCTTTGTTGTTGTCGTTGTTGTTATCGTCCAAATTGAGCTCCAGCTCCAGCGCGTCGAAGTCACGGTCGACGTCGCCGGCACCGTCGTCGTAGGTCCGCAAAAGCCCCTCGAATGTCAAGCCTTTGTCCCCGTCGATGAACTCGCCGTACGTCCGAAACACCTCGTCGAGGATGGCATTGATTTGCTCCTCGCTGAATTTCACCCGGGGGTTAACGGCCACCACCAGGGCCGACATTTCCTCCCTGTTGAGCCCGCCGTCGCTGTTGAGGTCGAACTGCTGGAAAATCCTCTTCACCTTCTCCGATCTGCTCCCTCTGGTGGCCATTTCCTCCCTGTTGGCGGAACGCATGCTCCCTTCTGTCTCTCCCAGTCCTCTCGCCAATTATCTCCATCGTCGGATCATTTCGGCTGGGGGAATCGCGGCCGCAAGTTCTTCTCCCAAGCCCGCGTCACCCGCGTCAACGACAGGGATGCTCCGCTGTTGAGTTTCTTCCAGATCTAGACGAGTTCCAATGGAGCGTCGTCAGCACGACGACCGATTTCTCTGACGAGAGGGTGACTTCCTACGAATGGCTTTTGTTGCTGGACGATGGATTTCTCATATCCATTATAACCGAGAAGCAAGCTTGATGCCTTTTACATTCTTCTCCATCATTCAAGTTAACTCAGTGGTCGGAGAAGAGAGAGGGGCAGGGGATTTTTCTTTTTATTTTATTGGGTAACTAGTTGGGGAAGGGAGGGACGGAAGGGAGCCGGTCAAATGTTGGAGTTGAAAATTGTGAACTGTAAAATATAATAAATTTAAATTTATTAATTAATTATTTTTTAAATGACACATCAGCTTTTTAACGGTCAAACATTGGAGTTGACTGCCACCTAGAACAGACTTAACAGAACTAGACGGCGAGTGACTAAATATGACATAAACGTGTAATATCAGTGGCTAAGTTGAATGGTTTTCGATTCGGGTGGCTAAAGTGTTATAAATGAGTAATATGGGTGACCAAGTTTGCAATTCACCCGGACGGACCATAATAATACTACTACCTGTTTTCAAGGTAAGACATATTTTGTCTACTAATTAATATTATTAGATGGTTTTTTTTCTTCCGATAAAGAATATAATATCATTAGTGAATTCCATATGAGCATATGTATAATTTAATATTTTTTCCACTCGTGGTTAGGTATGAAGATATTTATAATTTTAGCGGCTTATCATGATTTTTACAATTTTTTAACTAGATATTAAAAGTGATTTCTTGTATTGTGAATTCACGAAAGAGATCTACATTGAGAAATCATAAGGGTTTGTAGCTGCTGGAGAGGAACACAAGGTATACAAACTTCATAAAACACAGTATAGCTTGAAGCAAACATCCAGAGGAGGCCCTTTCAATGACCTATGTTGTGTTGAAGGGATCCCGAGGCGGAGGGGAAAATACGGGGTACTACTGAATTTAGTCATACTTTCGGAAAATGGGTTTGAAAGATGTGAGATGTGAATATGAACGTATCGTTTTCGTCAACGCTTCTAGAGTTGATATATTGCAGGTCACACTCTATGCTAATGATCTCATGTACACGAATAGCAGTCCAATCATGTTTGAAGAGTTCAAGCAAGCAATCAATGAAGTCCGAGTTCGAAATGGCAATTTTTTGGAGGATGAAATACTTTAGGTGTTGCTCTACTGTAACACAAAATGAATCTGCCATTTTCATTTGTGAAGAGAAATATGTTAGAAAAGTTTTTCATAATGCAATCCAAAGGCTAGAGATGGGTTCCAAGCAAATGTTAAGAGTAAGACCATCCTAAATTCCAAAATTCGAAATTTTTGGCCTAGAATTCAAATTATAGTTATGTTTTGACCTTAGTGATGGGTTTCAAAAGTCCAAAGTTCCAGAATTCTACATTAACTCTTAATCTAGTTTATTGAAGTTTTCATCATTCTAATTGGATAATTTGTTCATTATTTTTATACAAGCATTAATAATTAATTAAAACGAAGATTTTGATATAATTTTTTCTTAATCCGAACATAATTTTTTATATTGAATATTACATCATCAATAACGAAAATACTTGTATCCTCCAACTTCTCTGGCTTTGGCGCGTGTTGTTTACCTGCTTATATCCTTTGTTGCATTTTTTAGGATACTGACAGGGTTGCCCATTTAATGGCTAAAAAGGCTATTTTATCAGCGATTTGATTAGTTATCGACCGCCGCATTTGATTATTTCATTTACTACATACTTGTAAGCATACTGCATTGTACACCGATCTATGAAAAAAAATATTTTGACTATCTGGAACCCCTCTAAAGCTGGTCTCGTCTTTTTTTTTTTTTTTTTTGAACATGCACTAAAGCTGGTCTAATGAATACTATACAAGGCACCATATGCTTGCATCCAAGGGAATTTTAAGATATATGAAAGGAACACAAAGTGAAACAGATCATTATTATGCAGGAGATACAGATTACAGATCGTTATATATGTATATTGTATCTAGCAAACCTGTTGGAAGAAATTTGTTGGCTCCAAAGTGAAACCAAGAAATGGCAACTGCAACTTGAAGTTGAAATTCAAAGGCGACTATGTCAGGAACTTGCTAATGGCCAATTAGTAGAGTCGGGGGTGGAAACTTTATTAGGGTCTCGAATTTATATCCTAAAATAATTCGTAGGGTGGTGTGATTTAGAACCCATTTTATAAGCAAAAGTTAGGACTTGTAACAGACGAATCGATTCACTAATAGTTTTCTTGACCGCGCAGTGAAAAGAGAATACGAAGATGTCGATGGTGGACAATGGAGGATTGAAAGCTCGAGGGGAAGGAGAATTTTAATACATGAAGCTTCAAATGAAAAAATTGTCTAGTTTTCCTCCTCGCTATAGGCCGTTAATTCTTTTTTTAATTATCAATTATTTAATTGGGGTGAAAAGTTTATCAATAAGAAGTTAAGTGTTAAACACATATGACAATATGATACGATAGTACCAATCTCTTGTTATGATTAATATAATCAATGGACTTGATCACATTAGATTTGTGATTAGTATAATGCAAATATAATTTTTTCAATGGTCAATGACATTAACAAAATATAGTGTATATCATTTGCATTTGTGGGTTCGAATCCCACTAATAAGTATTTATATGTTTGGTGGATGCTTGAGAATCGAGGACTTCATGAACCCTAATGTGAGAAAGTGCATTAATTCTTTATAATTTATATGGCAACAAAACCGGAAAAATTGATGAATTGATGACACAAACACAAAAAGGCAAGTGCATGATAATGATAATGATTAATGACTGAGGAAGCACACGTAATTATTCAGATAATTCATTCAATCTATTATGTAAATATTGATATATGGATGACCAATGGCCTACCACATTAGATGCTCACTTGGGAGTTACATGTAACTCCTATTTCTACATCATTATCTCTCATTCATATGCATTGATATAAGGATGTAGTGGTTACCAAAGTGTGCCTATAAATATAGCACACCATTGTATCAAAAGTGAAGAATGAATAAGAAGAACTCTTCCCTCTCTTCTCTTGTGTCTTTCCCTCTCTAATCATCTCTTGTAGTTGCTTATATTTTCATAGTTTCATAACACGTTATCAGCACGAAGCTCTGCTAGCATCATGGTTGGTCATTGTCTCTTTACACAATCCAGTATATTGGAGTAAGATCACAATATGATCAAGGTATGTAAATCTTATATCCTTTCTTATCTTATTGTCTTATTTGTGTTGACATTATCTCATTCCAATATATCAAGATGGGCGCTACTCTTTTCTCGTATCCATTGATATTTTATCACGTCAATCTATTTGGATTAACAAGAAAAGTAATATAAGTGATGAGTTAATTTTTCAGTTCTCTGTGTTATCCTATTCTTATCAATCCCACATTGATATGTAGAAAATGCAAGTTCCAAGAGCCCATATATTCCCCAGAAGTGGAAATTGAAGAATTCAAAGGCAAATAAAGAAAAAAAACATGGTAATAAGAATATTGGTTTTGTATGTTACCATTGTAATGGAAAATTGCATTTGTCTCGTACCCGTTGTACGCAAAAGACCCTATTCTACCAAGAATCAAAGGGAAAAACTAATTCATATACGCTCTTGCAATATCAATATTATGGAACATATTTTTTGTATTATAAGTTGGTATATTCTCCATTAAAGATGAAAATGAAATTGCACTTGAGACATTTTCATTCCCAGAAGTGAATGAAACAATCTATTCCCCGAAGTGAATGAAGCTATAAACATGATTATATATATGTTAAATGTATTGTTTAGATCTTTTCACCAGAAGTGAGAAAAGAGGAGAAAAAGGAGAATTATAAATAAGGATGACACAACAATTGCATTATCAAAGTCATGATAACATAATGTACCAGACGAATAGGACTTGTAACAGACGAATCGATTCACTAATGGTTTTCTTGACGGCGTAGTGAAAAGAGAATACGAAGATGTCGATGATGGACAATGGAGGATTGAAAGCTTGAGGGGAAGGAGAATTTTAATACATGAAGCTTCAAATGAAAAAAATTGTCTAGTTTTCCTCCACGCTATAGGCCGCTAATTCTTTTTTTAATTATCAATTATTTAATTGGGGTGAAAAGTTTATCAATAAGAAGTTAAGTGTTAAACACATATGACAATATGATACGATAGTACCAATCTCTTGTTGTGATTAACATTAGGGGTGGGCATTGGGTGGGTCGGGTGGATTTTGACCATAAAATGCACCCACCCGCGCTTAAACGGATTGATAATTTTTAACCCACCACCCACCCACATTTAGTCTCGGGTTGGGTCGGGCGGATGGTGGATGATGCGGGTGGGTTTGTGGGTTCACTCACATCACAATGTATATAATATAAAGGAGTCAACTTGACATGATAATAGGTGAAGAAAATCATCGAGGAAAACAAGAAGTTGAAATAGTATATAATATAAAGGAGTCAACTTGACATGATAATAGGTGAAGAGAATCATCGAGAGAAACAAGAAGTTGAAATAGAGCGAAAAATGACGACTTCGTTCTTAAATTGGATAGAAATTCTATTATGAAATAGTTTTCTACAGATTGAGACGATTATTAGGTGCAAGGAACTAAGGAAAATAATTCCACAAAGGAATGAGCGGTGATCTAGGCACAAGAATTAGAGGAAAAAGTAGAGGGAAGAAGAGGGGATCTCTATTTGGAAGGTTGACTTTGAGGTTCAAACTCCAGGAGCAGTCCGAGTTTATATCTAACGTCTCCACTCTCCTCTCTCTAGCGCCAACGACTTTGATCTTTTTGCTGTTGGGTTGAGCGGGTCACCCGCACACTCACCCACAACCACCCACCACCCGGCGGATGGCTCACAACGCAACCCGTCACCCACCCACAAACCCACCCACTTAACGAAATTCGGGTCAAATGCGGGTGGGTCGGCCCAAACCCGCGGATGATCCGCCCGCATGCCCAGCCCTAATTAACATAATCAATGGACTTTATCACATTAGATTTATGATTAGTATAATCAAATATAATTTTTCTCAATGGTGAATTACCTTAACAAAATATAGTGTAGCATTTGCATTTATGGGTTCGAATCCCACTAATAAGTATTTATATGTTTGGTGGATGCTTGAGAATTGAGGACTTCATGAACCCTAATGTGAGAAAGTGCATTAATTCTTTAGATGGCAACAAAACCTGAAAAATTGATGACACAAACACAAAAGGCAAGTTCGTTCCATTTTTAGTAAAATAGTGAAGGATATTCCATTAGTAATGAAAAAAGGGGTGGAGGGGATCCGTATATGTTGTTCAGGTCGATCAAAAGGCGCAGAAATAGCTAGAACTGAATGCGGAAAGTATGGAAAAACATCTCGTAATGTATTTAACCAGAAAATTGATTATGCTCCTGCGGAAGTATCTACTCGTTACGGAATCTCAGGTGTCAAAGTGTGGATTTCTTATAGTAAAAAGCTGTGTTATTAAAACCGGACCGGACCGGCCGGTCAGACCGGTAAAAACCGGACCCGGGCACAAGTCCGGCCCCGGAAGCAAGAAAACGGGCGGCTGGGGAAATATAGCTGGCGCCTACTTTTTGCAATTTTTTAATTGATTAATAATGAAAAGCAAACAAGGTAAGTGAAAATAAATGTGACCCAACATCAGCCCTTCCACTATTGTTAGCGTTTTGATATTTTTTAATTCTTATTCTATATTTTTCTCTTCTTTTTTTAGAATCGAGTACCGGTTTGTGAACGGTTTTTAATACCGGTTAATCAACGGTTATCCGATAAACCTTAAACCTCTCATTAATCCGGATCGATGTCCGGTTCGGTTTTCACAACACTGGTAAAAAAAAGGGGGACGTGCTATATCCGAAACGTACGAAATATAGTAAATATCGTAAAGGCAGATGTAGTAGGAGTTGCAAAACGGACGGTACACAACTTGGTTTTGGAAGATATGGCACTAAAAGTTGTAAAGCTGGTCGTCTTTCATATCGAGCCATTGAAGCAGCGCGTCGTGCTATAATCGGACAATTCCATCGCATGATAATGACCGAGAAATCACACGTAATTATTCAGATATTTCATTTAATCACAATTCAGGAATACGAAATATCATCAAATATAATATCCTAAGCATCATCATCTGTTTATGACAGTTGACAAGGACTATCACACCTCACCTAGCTAGCCCTAGGCTAGTACTAAACCAGAATTACTATAATACCCCTAATCATCAAAAGACATTTCTAAAAATAACTAATTTTGAAGTGAAACTTGAGATGGCACATAATTAGTCACGACTTCGAATCGGGTTCCTTGAATTCCAGCAACATTGCTGAACTTTCCCGTCTCGAGCTCAAACGTAACGAGACCATGATCTCCGTCGTAATACCCCTTCTCGTTCATCAGATCACTAGAAAATGCCGCAAAGAAGAACCTCAAATTCCTCGAAATCCCCGCGCAATACTCTATCGTCATATCCACGGGACTCGTCACGACGTACAATTTCGTCCACGACTCCGGCACCCAGTACTTCAACATCACCCAAATCTCCCACGACGAGCTCCGCCTCTCCCTCCTCCCTTCAAACTCATCGTCGTCCTCGTCGGTATCCTCGTAGCCGTTGTAATCGGGGAAAACCGCCACCATCGATTCCTCATTCAACAGACAAACAGGAGTGTTGTACTCCTTCTCGGAATTAGGACAGGGCACCTCCACTTTCCCAAACGCTTCCCTGCCGACGTCGAACGAATCGAACACCAGAGTCCTCTCCCCGCTCAATCTCCACCAGTACAGCTTCCCCATTCGGCACTGCGGGATGTTCCCGGAGCTCAGCGACGGGAAATCGTCCAATTTCGTCCACGAATCGTTCCGCAGGCTGTAGATCTCGAGGAAATAGAGGGATCGGAAGCAGCAGGACTCGATGTAGAGCGGCCTGACGATTTTGTAGTCGTTCGATTCCGGGTCGAAACCGAACCCGATCGCGCTGGACGAACAATCAGACCGGCGCTCGAAAGGGGAAGGCGGGACGATCTTGGTCTCCGATGTCGCCGGGTTCCAGAGGATCGGATCGTCCTGCTTTCCGTCCCACTGGATTAGGCAGAGCAGGCCGTTGCAGCATCCGGCGAATCTCACGTCCGGGCGGCGCGGCTTGGCCGGATCGAAGGGCATCTGGATCCGCTCCGGTGTGTCGGAGGGATGCCAGCTGTGAAACCGGACGGATCTGTTTTCGGTGCGCTCGATCCATTCGAAGAGGAATTGGTGGTCGGGAGGAGAAGCAGAGGAGGATAGGGTTTTCGCGATGGAGGAGGGTTTGGTGAGGAAGTCGCACCATGATTTGCTGAGGCAGCGGAATCGGACGGTGCAGGGAGAGAGGGGAAGGCGGAACAGGATGTCGGTGATCAGGGCGTCGGGGATTTGGTGGCCGGGGGATTGAGAGGGCAGGGCGGTCGCCGGCGGGAGTTCCATTTGGGGTTTTTGAGATTAGGGTTTCTTTTGTTTTTTAATTTTTTTTGTATGGGGATTAGGGAATAAGGGTAATTACGAGAAACGGCGATCGCACCAAAACCCTAGCGCCGAGGGAGTTATTTATATGGAAAAGGTCAGAAGAAATCATGGAGGAATAACTGATTGGTGATTACTGATAATGATGATGATAAAAGTTGGCTAAAAAGGTTTTATTTCGTATCTGTTTCGTCAATTCGGGATTGCGTGGGATTTAGGATAATAGAGAATATCGTATCGAATTTGTCAATATTTGGTATTATCGAATACACGTATTATTTTATTGGATTGAGATTGTGATTGAATTTCAAGTATTATTTGGTATTAAAGATTACGAGATTGAGATACGTACATACCGAAATATCAATGAATACCGCAATATTATCTAGTGAGTATTTTTACTCTCCCAACTAGGCTCCCTCATTGACTGCTATCAGAACCTCAATCTTCAAAATGACCGCTCATTTTATACATAGCATATTCTCTCACTATTTGACAGCTCATATCAAACTCATCTTGTTACTTGTGGTATGTTTATGACTTCTTAGTCGCTTCATGTTTCAATTGGTTGCTTTAGTTTGTTAATGTACATGTTTCTTAGGTACCACATTTCTCTAGTTTATTGTTATTGTACTTGATTTTTTTATATATATTTGTTTTGCATGAGTATTGGCATCATTGTTTGCTTTTATATATTTTAAAAGTGGAATTTTATATTTATATTTTCATTGGGTAATATCTCCTTAAATTTTGTATAAATATTCAACCTATTCTCTGTCACCAAAATGTTCTAACAAAACATCCAAATTATTAAACAAAATAGATCATAATTTTTAATTAAATTCAATTGTTAATGAGAGTGATCATCTGTAATGGACCACAGAAAGTTGACAAGGAGATTGGGAAATGAAGAAAAGGAAGCATAAATAAAAATTTCTTATTGAGGTTAGATGATGTTAGTTTACATTAAAAGGTTTTTTTGTTAAATAGTGAACCAGTAGACCAGTAAAATCGATGTGGTTTCTCTTGTTTCATGTCAAACCATTAGGTTCATCCCTAACCGTCCAATCAAATGAAGAGAACCACTATTTTAATTGCTATAATGATTCTACTGGTCTAACCAGTGATCCGGTTTGATTGTTATAACAATGGTAAAAGCCTAAAATTTTAAACTTTAAAGCGCAATTTTAGCTGCATTCCACCTATTTGCGGTTGGCATTCCCCTTCTTCCAATCAGTATCGCCTGAGCATCGTGAAAGAAGCGGATCTTCGTTGATGATATTCTTCTCACTCTTTCTTCTCGCTTAGGGTTAAATTTTGGCCCTGTTTGGCTGTTTGTTCCTTATCTAGTGCATGATTTACTTTATCTATGCTTATTGAGTAGCAAACCTTCTTCAAGTTAAGAGGGCGATGAGATTTGGAGTGAGAAGGAGGAATTTCAGAAGGAGAGATTTTAATTTTGAAAAAATGGTCAAATTTGAATGGCATGACATTCATTTACATTTTCAATTGTATTATGCAATTGTATTGACGTAGATGAAATTGTAACTTTGCAAGCTTGCATCCAATGCAATTATGGATTGCAAGCCACGTCATTTTTTATTATTTTCTTTTTGAATTGTTTATATTTTTATAATAATTAAATTAAATTAGCCAATTTCAAATTAATTGTATTTATGTGAGCGCCATGAAAGTAATATGAATTGCATTGCAAAAAATTGAGGTGGCTATAAAGAGCACAAATGCAATTGTATATACAATTAAATTGATGTGGATTCTCTTAGTTGTTAAGAGCATCCACATTGGTAATGCAATCTCAATTGCAAGATTACATGGTATGGGTGTTTGCAATTTGCAAAATCAATTGCATTGATCTAACTACCAATTGCATATTTGCAAGCTTACAACAAATGCAATTGCATATGCAAGTAAAAAAAGTCTAAAAATGGAATTTTTTATTTTATATGATTTTTCACGTTTACTTTATTTTTTTATAATTTAAATATAATAAAATTATAAGTTAATTGCATTGATGTCGGTGAATGAATGTAATTTTAGGTGGATTGCAAAAAAATGAGTTGGAAACAAAGAGCATAAATGCAATTACTTTTGCAATTGCATTGATGTGGGGAGCATTCACATTAGTCTTGCACTTTCAATTGTAAGATTACATGACATGGGTATTTGAAATTGCAAAACCAATTTTATTAATGTGGCTACCAATTGCATACTTGCAAGCTTGCAACAAATACAATTGCATATGAAAGTAAAAAAGCCTAAAATGGAGAATTATGTATTTTATATTATTTTATTTTCTCTTTTAATTTATTTTTTATAATGTAAAAATATTGTTTAACAACAATTGCAAGTGAATTGTATTGATGTAGATGCATTGACATTAACGTGAGTATGATTGTAAAAGAATTGAAGTGGCAATAGAAATCTCATATGGACTTGATTGATGTTGTTCCTCTTTTTGGCTATACTACTGCATTGACAAAACATGATGTAGTGTCCACGTGGCAAGGGGTGTCGAGTTGTCGCTGACTTGTGCTTCAATTCTAATACGACTTAAGTTTTAAACAAAAATGACTAAATTTGTCAATTATCATCTAAAATATTACTATTTTGTGTATTTATTAAAAATGGCTAATATTCTCGTAAAGTCTATAGTTATGGTTATGAATTTTTGTTGGTTTTTAATACCAACGCCTTAATATTGAACAACGTGATCCGTTTTTTCCGTTGAACACTTGCCGCCGGCGGGAAAATATAATTACCGAGCAACAAAAGAAAAAAATATGAACGAAAAGAAAAAAGAAACCATATTCCTTGTGGGAAGAGGAAATCAGTAGACATACCTTTTCCGAGAAGTAAAAGGATTCCTAACCTTAGTCGGCTAAGGATAATTCCTCCTCTCTTCTTCACACTGCTACTTATATATATACACCACCACCAGTTAACTAAGCTCCACCCACAGTCTCCAAAGCGAAAAGAAAAGGAAGGAAGGAAAGCAAGAAAGCAAGCAGCGGATCGAGATCACCATCGCCATGGGGAAGCGCAAGTCATCTTCGAGCAAGAAGCTGCTCGCGAAGAAGCCCAAGCACGCCCAGAAGCTGGAGAAAGTCTTCAACTGCCCTTTCTGCGGCTACGTCGACTGCGTGGACTGCCATCTCGACAACGAAATCTGGATAGCCACGCTGCGCTGCAATCGCTGCGGCGAGTCCTACACCACCAGGATGAATCGTCTCACCGAGCCCGTCGACGTCTTCGCCGAGTGGATCGACGAGTGCCAGCTCGTCAACCCCGACCCAGCAGTAACCGGCGCAACCAACCACCACCGCGGCGGTACTTCTCGGCCGACCAAGATTGCAACGCACCAGTCGCCGCGGCGCTCGTGCCAAGTAGTTTAGGCCTCTTCCTTATTGTCCTCTGTAAAAAGCCCTAATGAATGAAGAATGATTCATTTTCTTGTTTCAAGCTCTCTCTCGTATTCGGTAATTAGTTAATCTAAAAGGGAAAGAAACGAACACAGGAAGCTTTCCAGATGATCACGAGATTCAGTTTATTCATTCAAAGGGAAAGGTCATAGTTTGTAACACAGAATTCGAAATATAAAGAAGCTATTTACTGCTGTTTGACAAGATGAATGGGGGATTGTACTTTTTACCACTGCAAAAACTTACAAAGCACCGATAGACCGAAGAGAACTAACGCAAAAATCATACGAGGGTAAGTTCTGAATGGAGAAGGGAATGTGTGCTCAGTTATGTACAAACTGCTATTTAGTTGTCTCCCTGCCTAAGCACGCGCAGGATGGTGAGGAACAGATTGAGGATGTCGAGGTAGAGAGCGACAGAGGCCAGGATGTACTGATCGTAAGTGTATCGCTTGATCAAGTTGTCGGTGTCGTAGACTATGTATCCCGAGAACACCAGAGCGCTGATCCCGCCAATCACTGCAGTCGAGGTCGAACCAAGTGGGCAGAACACCTGCAGCAGAACACAAAAAATGGTAAGATAGATGAAACCCGAGATTGAGAGCAGAAATCAACAACAAGAGAGGACAACGACATACCTGGATGAAGCTTGTGAGTACGAGGATCATGAGGCTGGTGAACAAAATGGGTCCCATGAAGCTGAAGTCCATGCCTCTCTTGGCGGCCCAGAAGGTGTATGCAGTCAGAGAGCAGACGACGGCCGAGGTCAGGATCAATGCTTCCAGCACGATTTTCCCTGTTTAAGAACAAACCCCAGATAAAAATCAGACCCATCTTAGAAGGGCTGGATCGAGACAGAATCAATAGAAGAAGCTCACCATCTGTGTTAGCACAGCTTGCGCCAACCAGGAAACTCAGAGAAACGGTGAAGAGGCCGAGCACGATCAGGTTGACAGGGTGCTTCTGGTGGTATACGTGAAGAGGCCATAACACTGCGAGGTCATGTAAATTGAAGAACAATAGCTATGAGAACCTAGAATGGACGCAAATGTGTTGATTGGAAAGCTCGAAATTGACAAATGAAGACATCTTCAGAAGCCATAGCTCAAGCGATCAAATTTCTTCTATTCTCTATAATCATCAGGAAAAACACCATTTCCACACACAAAAAATCGTGCAATGAAAATGCAATTCCAATTCCCAACTACTACCAGGAGAAAAAAAACCCCTAATTGATCATTTTCTTTATCATATCATACGATTCATATCCACATCTGAAAGCAATCAAACCGTGTTTAACCTCAAATTGCAATCAGATTCGTAAATTTATACACCAATTATAACCTGAACCCTAAACATTGACGGATTCAGGGGGAGAAAGGGGGCAAACGAAGGAGAGAAAGACGTACGGATGAAGGGGACGACGCAGAGGAACAAGAGGAGACCGGGACTTCCCCTGAGGAGCTCGTTGACGGGAGCGTAGAGGACGGTGACGGAGGAGACGATTGTGGTGATGACGAGCTGAGCGGCGAGGATGCCGTAAACCTTCTGGATCAAACCCCATCGGAGCTGGTTCTCGCCCAGACCTAGCCCTGGATACAGAGTCTCGCCGTTGCCGGCCTCGAGATCGGGCTCTTTCCCTAGATCCTTGCTCGGAATCGTCGAGAATCCGTACATCTTCTTCGATCTCTCCTTCTTAGGCTCTATCTCTCTGTTTCTCTCCGCAGATTTTGATGATATTTTCCTCTCGTTTTCTGAGGAGACAAACAGGGGATTTACAGATCCTTAAGCTTGAAACGAAAATTTATAGGTGAGCGACGTTGACGAGCCGGGTCTATTTTGCCGCCACGGTTGGGGAAGCCCATGGGTCATAGACTCACTTTTATTATTTGGATGGTGGGCCGGTTCTGTCAGGGTCATTATTTAATCGAAAATAAAAGATAAATTCTATCTAGAAAATAAATAAAAAAAGAGATATAAGTAGGGTAGAAATTCGTAGAGTATTGGTGATCCCGTATCAAATTCGATCCCAAAATATTTTTATAAGATATTAGGGTTCTCGAATATCAAATCGATTACCATCATAAATAAATGTATAATTATTGAACACCTCTAATCACAAACATTTTTATATGGTGTAGGCTTGTAAATTTAATTTCGTGATTGAAAATTTTGGCGATACATAAATAAATAATGGTTCGAACACCTCCAATCACAAATATTTTTTTTATGGTGTAGGCTTGTAAGTTTAGTTTCATGATTGAAAACTTTGGAGATGGCAAGTTGAGGTGTGAAACTCTAATAAAAACTAATCAAAGTCATTGTTGATGGATTCAATCAAAGTCTCAATTGAGTGGATTCATCACACAGGTGCCCATTACTAAGTAAAAAGTATTAAATTTGCCTAAATCTAAGATAAGGATAAATTGAAGGAATGAGATGGTGATATCTCGACTTCTTCACCTTGATAATATTTGATTTGAAGGGTGGACACCGAGAAACAAATAATGAGAGTGTTAGTTTTTTGGTGTTCTGAAAATAATATTAGATTGAGTGAGAGATGAGAGTAACCTAGGAAATCTTGGAAACTAAGCTTGGATTGGATAGGGGATTGCTATTGTCAAAATGCGAGAAATGACTAGAAGTTGTGGTTATATTTAATTAATTATAAATTTTTTATATTTCTAGATATATTTTCCTATATTGATCTCAATCTCAGATTCTTGAATATCGAATAACATCCTAAAATCAATCTCAATACCTAAAAAATATAACTCGTATATGATAATACTAAAAATAGTGATTAATTCGGTACAATATTCGTCATATTCCAAAAATTGATATCAAACTTCCAGTTCAAGATACAAGGGTGGTTTGGTATTTGCGATTGTGCAAATTTATGTATTTTACAGATGCATGCATTATAAATCTGTGTATTCTCTAAATTGGTGCAATTACAGTGTTTATTGTTGTGACTGTAGTTTTGTAAATTAAAGAGATAGGCTAACATTTTTTTTAGAAAAGTCATATTGAATCATTTCTTGAGTGTGAGAGAGTTGCGAAAAATGTAGAGTTTGAGGTACCACGAATTTTTTTCGATTTCAAACCGTGATCACTAGGGATAGCAATGGTGTGGGCTGAAGTCGTTTTTGCTAGATTCATAGTTATCTTCAATTCGTAAATCAATGCTTGTATAGGCAAAAGTTTTTCATCCTCGTTCTCATTCTCACGATTCTCCGATATTTGTGGATAATTCACTCCCACGTAATTCCAAACTATATCCATTAAGTTGAAGACACGTTTTATGAGTATCGGGGATGATGCGAAACACCTATCTACTATTTTTTCGGACTGCTCTATACCTGACCAATACTCAAATTCCCTTCATTAACTGGATCGGGCGGATTGAATACCCACACACGATTGTGGATACAATTACCATACCTAGTCAATCACTACAATTGTGTGGCTACTCCACTTATGGAGAGTCTTCCACAAGAATGAATTCAAAATCTTTAATCTAATCTCAATGTACTTGTTTAAACTTCACTATTGTAGTCCAATAGTTGATCAATGAAAGAATGGTCTTCCCTTTCAAACAAACTTCTTGTTATGGGTCATTGCCTTGTGGCAGGTGTCGCAAGATTCGATCCAGTCGTGGTACAAATGTCGATCTAGTCGCAGCAGTTGAATTATATCATGAATAACATATTCAAATTTGTGAGACAATTATCAAACAAAAAACAGGGTATTTGTGACATGTCCCTGTGTGATTAGCGATTGTCGTAGGTTAACGTGGGAGCGCTCTCTCCCATCCCCCAAATCATATTCATATATAGACTTGGGAACTGCAGCGAGGAAGACGGAGGAACAGTTAGGTAGCAAATAGAGGCAGAGAAGCCGAAGAGCCACCCATATTCTTCTGTTGCTCTTCCCTTCTCCGCCAACTCTCTGCAGCTGGAGATTGGCAAAGTTTCAATTGAATACGCTCTCGCGTCAGAATCAATCTTTTCCCGCCAAAAAAAGACTGCAAATTCTGCTATCGCAAGTTCGCAACTCGAAAGTTCGCATCTTTGAGTCCTCGATTGCATCTCTTCTCTTGGGCAATCGTCTTTCTGCCCTCTCGTCCTACGGATCATGGGTTTCGGTTCGAGTTCCAATCTCTTCACCAATGCAGCAAGGTACTTTCAATTCAGAACCACAAAACCTAGCTTTCGATTGACGCACCACAATTGAACGGATTTGGGTTTGCGATTCGTCTGTTACTCTGGCCATTCCACTCGTGCTTTTGGAGTTTTCTTATACTGTTTGGGCGATTAGCTGAAGTTGCATGCTGTATTTCGTGAATGCAGCAAAGGGGTTGATCCTGATCCTGATGGTGAAGGGTTTGGTGGCAACGTGAATGTGAAACCTTACTCGGTAGGGAAAGTCGGCGTGATGAACAACTCTGCTGTTGATGGAGATGGTGTAGGGTTTGAGCCCTATATAGGGTTAGAATTCGATTCACCAGACGATGCACGGGAGTTCTACAACAAGTATGCTACGCATGTCGGGTTTCGAACCAGAATAGGGCAGCTATATCGCTCGAGAACAGATGGCTCGGTTGCCTCTAGGAGGTATGTGTGCCAGAGGGAAGGGTTTCAGCTGAATTCAAGGAATGGTTGTCCCGCATTCATAAGGGTGCAGAAGCATGGTGATTCAGGGAAATGGGTGATCGACCAAATGGAGAAGAATCACAACCATGAATTCCTAGGTGGTGGGGATGAATCCCGCTCTCCAATCTTGCAAGGCAGGATCTCGGTTTCAATGAAGCCATCATCTGTGGTGTCCCCGAGGCCTAAGAAACCCAAAGTGAAATTGCTGAAGGAGATTGATAGCGGAGGTATCAATGCGAAGCGCTTTAGAAGCGGGTCTTATGAGGGTGAACCGTATTCAGGGCTGGTGTTTAATTCAGCTGATGAAGCATATCACTTCTATCAAGCCTATGCTGATAAGGCCGGGTTTAGAGTCCGGATTGGCCAGCTGTTTCGGTCAAAGAACGATGGATCGATTACCTCCCGTAGATTCGTGTGCTCTAAGGAAGGGTTTCAGCATCCGTCTAGACTCGGTTGTGGAGCATTTATGAGGATCAAGAGACAAGATTTTGGAACTTGGATAGTGGACCGTCTTGAAAAGAATCATAATCATGAAACTGGGCTAGAACCTGTTACTCCAAAGAGATCAATGGATGAGGTGGTTGATGAGTTTGTTTCCCCAGCTCCTGCAACGACTCTACACTGTGGGCAATCCACAATAAAACGAGAAAATGAGATTGGAAGTGAGTGGTACTCTTTGCTTCTTGATTATTTCCAGACTAGGCAAGCACAAGATACCGGCTTCTTCTACAGCTTAGAAGTCGACAGTAACGGCAGTTGCAAGAGCATTTTCTGGGCCGACGGAAGGTCTCGATTCTCATGCAGCCAATTTGGTGATGCAATCATCTTAGATACTTCATACAGGAAGAAGAATACCCGTTCTGTGGTTCCTTTCGCCATGTTTCTTGGAGTCAACCACCACAGGCAGCCTGTGATTCTTGGCTGTGCCCTGATTGCAGACGAGTCATCAAAGGAGACATTCACCTGGCTGTTCCACACATGGCTTAATGCCATGTTTGGCCGGTCTCCCAGATCTATCATTGCAGATCAAGACCCTGCAATCCAACAAGCAGTGGCCCAAGTCTTTCCCTCCACACGCCACCGCTTCTCCTTGTGGCAGCTCGAGGCAAGGGAGCAAGAAAATTTAAGGTCGATGTCTGATGAGTTTAGATACGGATATGATGAGTGCATTTCCCAGAGCCAAACACCTGCTGAATTCACAACCATGTGGACTGCTCTCGTCAACTGCCATGGTTTGGGAGACAATGTCTGGCTTCAGGAAATGTATGAAAAGCGGGAATCTTGGGTTCCGTTGTACTTGCGTGCATCATTCTTCGCTGGCATTAGCCTGACATCTTCGTTCTCTCTTTCAACTTCAATCACAGAAAGTGAAGTGGATGAGTTCATTTCAAGATACGAGCAAGTTGTGAAACATCAGAGAAAAGAGGAAATGAAGGAGGACTTCAAGTGCAGCAATCTGCAAGCTGTTCTTAAGACGAAAGAACCGGTGGAAGACCAGTGCAGGCAGCTATACACTCTGGCAGTGTTCAAGATATTTCAGGAGGAGATGTTGCAGTGCTACAATTACTTTGCGATCAAGACGTTCGAGGAGAGGACAGTGAGCAGATTCTCACTGCAGAGATGTGGGGACGAGAGCGAGAAACACACCATTCGACTCGATAGGTTGAACCTGGACATTGACTGCAGCTGCAGGATGTTTGAGTTCGAGGGGGTGCTGTGTCGCCATGCCTTGCGAGTTTTTAACCTGCTGGGAATTAGGGAGCTTCCCTCTCGGTATATATTGCACCGTTGGACGAAGAATGCCGAGTATGGCACTCCTCGTGATGTGGAGTCCTTATCGGAGAAGGAAGAGCTCAAGGCATTGATGACTTGGAGTCTGAGAGAAGCAGCGAGTAGTTATGTGGAAGCTAGCTCTGGGTCTCTTGATCAGTACAGGGCTTCTTATGAGGTTATGCATGAGGCAGGTAGGAAGAAACTCCCTTAGCAGTTAGCAAATAGCAAGGGTAAGGGGTACTTGAGCTGGAAACCGAACCTCTTTTTTGTAGTGTAGTTTTGTTTTTCTGGTCTGCAGATCGCTTGCAGTGTACGGAACATAAAGCAAGTTAGTAGTTTATGTGCATATGAATCAGCTTTCAACATCATCTCACTTAGGTTTGTTCCTCCTGAGCAGTGCCATTTTTTCTTTTGTTTTCTCCTTCCCAAATGCCGGATGGGGAGACAAAGTTGATACCAAAGTGCTATAGTTCATATTAGTAGTTTGTGTAACATGTGGATATTGGTAGATGTAGAAGCAATTCAGTTTAAATCCATATGCTTACGAATGAAGCGATGAATTGCTGTTAATAATGACGATGAATCGCTGTTAATAATGACTGATAATCTGCAATGCCTACAGTTTATTCCTCTTGAATTGCAGATAGTGCTGCTGAGTTTTTCAACAACGCCTAACATTTGAAAAAAGCAGTAAAAAATCTGGTTTGAACTCTAGAGGACCATGACCCGTTTCAAACAACGCAAGTACCATTACACTCAATAAAATTGCCTACAAGTGGAAACAGGAATTGAAAGCCAAACAGGGCAGCTCTTTTCCCATCAGTTCCACAGGTGGCAATCAATAAAGCAAGTACCATTCCAATCTGTATTTGATTCTTAACCAAGTTTCAACTGTTATTTTGTTTAACAAAAAGTGGATTGTTCTTCGGAAGTTTACACCACAAAAAATGGTTTATAACTATACCTCTAAGGGAGTAACCTACCTTCACCATATAGTTCAACACAAGCAACGAATCATCTACTCTATCGTTCTGCAGCAAACATTGCACCACTCTCTCGAAGATACTCTGCTTCGGTTTCAGGTTGTTCTTCAGCATAACAAACAGCCATTCCATGGCTTCTGTCTCATACCCTTTTTCCTTGCACAACCCAGCTATGAAATGATGATAAGTCCAAGCGCTAGGTTGTAGTCCCTTGTTCTGCATCTCGTTCCACAAGATTATACCTTCTTGAACATCTCCAGATAGACATAGCTTCTGAATGACAGGACTATAGGTCGAAGCTGATGGATGCAGACCAAGTGCCAGCAGTTCTTCTATTAACTTCCTGCTCTCAACTGTCCTCCCTTCTTTGCAAAGACCGAGAATTAGAGTGTTGAACGAGATCAGATCTCGAACCATCCCCTTTTCCGGCATGCTCTTGAATAATTCGAGAGCTTCATCATTCTTTCCATTCATGGACAACCCCGTAATCATGGTGTTATAAGCAACAGTGGTTTCTCCACAGTTTCTTCTATCACTCATCTCTTTGTACAACTCCTTAGCTCCTTCGACATTTCCTGACTTAAAATAGCCATGGATCAATGCATTATATGTGTAGTGATTTGGAACAATCCCCTTCCTGATCATTTCTAACCAAAGCTCCTTAGCATAACTAACATGTTTCGAAATGCAGAGACCGTGAATCATAGTTGTGTACATAACCCTATCGACTGCATACCCTCTATCTTTAAGATTGTTGAAAACCTTCAAGGCCTCAAGTGGCATACCGTTCTTACAGAGCCCATTGATGACTTCCTGATAAGTATGAACATCCGGTCTCATTGTCCTTGCAATCATGGTGTGAAGAAGTTCAGAGACCACATCATTTTCCCCTCTCTTGGCAAACGCAGATATCAACTTAATGAAAGGTGCATTCTGCAAGGGTAAGCCATCTTTCAAGAGTTGTTTCAGGAGTTCATATCCTTTCCCCGCTTCCCCACCCTTGGCAAAAGCATCAATAAGACAAAAGACCGTGTCGGTATCAATGTCAGCAACAACACCTGTTTCCATCATATCTTGATACATTTTCCATAAAAGATCAGTCTTCCCAAGCTTCAAGCAACATTGTAAGACCGAATTCCACGTCTTGATGGATGGTGATAATTTCCCGGTCGCTCTAAGCTTTGTGAGGACATCGATTGCTTCGTGAATCAATCCATTTTCACAAAGACAATGGATGTATTGCTGCAGTGAATCAAAATCAGGAGCGAAACCAGGGAGCTCAAGCAAGAAGTTTGCAGCCTTGACAGCATTTGCATCCAAAAGGGAATTCAGCAACGCGTTGCAGCAATCTTGATTAGGGATGAAATCGAGCTCCGAGCGCAGCCAGTGGAAGAACTTGAACAAAAGGAATGCATTGGTTTGGTGCTTGAGAAGCTCTTGAAAGAATTGGGAGTCCGCGAAATTGAATGAAGGGAAATCGGAGCGGAGAGTCTGTTCCCATCTGGGTTTCGTCCTAATAAGGTTAGAAACCTCCTTAGCTATTTCCCCCAAATCTGGGTTTCCACTATCCCGCCGAAAGTTCAGATTTTCATTACCAGCTGAATCATTGCTACTGGATTCGCTCTCTTTGCATTCAACCGTCAACCCTGGGTTTCCACTATCCCGCCTAAAGTTCAGATTTTTATTACCAGCTGAAGAACCATCGCTACTGGATTCACTCTCGCTGCATTCTACTGTCAACCTTCTCGCCTGGGTTTGAGTCTCGCCGCGAAACTGGCGGAGGAATGTTGCAATTGAAGCGGAAGCTCTCGCCATTATAAAGAATACAATCGCGACGGTGCAGCTTGAAATTAACTTCAGTGGAGATTCACTAAACTAGCAGAGAGTATGGGGAAAAGAGACCCGAAAATCAGACTTCCAGACAAATGAGAAACATACCAAAATGACCCTATGCAGTGGTGGCGAAAAGACCTCCTCCTAGCTCCAGCCGACGGAAGGATTCTAATTCCTACTTTGGCGAAGGCGGAGAAGGCAGACTTGCCGGCGCGAGAAGAAGAACAGCGATGTCGGAACTTAGTTCGATTGAGAAGATAGTCTCACGGTCAGGGAAAGTAGGGAAGGTGGGCTTAAAATGATTTGACGGAATTGAAGAGGGCTGGATTGGGATTTGGATTTTGGTACTCGCGGTTCCGCACTCCGGCATGCGTTATCAACTTATCATGAATGAGCTTCGAGGGTCATGGCTTTGCCCTTTTCGTTTTTGGGCCGAAAGCCTGAAACAGAAGCAGTTTCTGTAAGTGTAAGTAGAGCATCATCCATGAAACCGTACCGGAGACCGGACCGGAAAAGTCAGTGGTATGGTATTTTATGATAAAACCGTGATTTAATCGTAGTTCAACCGTTATACCGGTAAATACCGCCTATCGCTTTAGCCTCCGATATTGGTATTTCGTGGTTGAACCGCCGGTACGGTTTCATGGACACTGAAATAGAGGTGATAAGGTGATAAACGGTTATGCCGTTAGCGATTTATCACTAACCAACTGTTTCGTTTATTATTTTACGTGCTTAGAGATCTATCAGTAAGCATCGGCTCAATCCAAAATATAGACCGGATTGTTGCACATCCTACAGTCAGTCTGCTCCACAGATCGTCTCCCCACAGATTAGTTTCACAGATCTTTTACCAATTCCCAAGGTCTTGAACTTGCAACCTGAAATTCTCTGCATCCATATTGTAGTTCCGCCTCTCGGAAAATTAATCAACATCCTTCAAAATCAATCGATATAGCGAGACACGGATCAATCAGTTACTGTTAAAATGGCTTCTGATGGTGTCTTTTGGGCCAATTGGTACTCTGATTAATCTGAATTCTGTAAGATAAGCTCTGATTTAAATGTTTCACCTAATTACAACTTGGAATGTAAAGTATTGTAAACTGGGCCTCATATGAGAAAGCGATCAGACAAAACAGCACCACTGGCAACACCAACGAGGAACAGCAACGAAATGAAATCAGCCATCCCCAGTGACGAGTCTGATAAGAAGTAGATCTTATGAGCATTGCTGTCTCCTCTGAAACCTCGCACAATCATCGCCTGTGTACAACACACGAGTCACGACGGTATGCTACATCAGTCACACAGCGAAGTCGATTGTCTGCATGCACTACATTGAATTATCAACTTACTAACCTGAGATATCTGCTCTGCGTGGCTGAAGATGTTCTTGAAGATGCGTCGAATGTAGGAAGCAAGAACTGCCATTACCCAAATTAAGATCAACACAAGGAAAACTGCATCCATTGTCAAAGCTTACACGAGGTTATCGAAGATTTACTTACTTTCGATTGTCTCCATGACAGTCAGTAGCTTCCAGTTGATCCTACGAGACACAATTCCAAGCGCTACATTTCTCACCTGGAAATCGGAACATGGGGTGTTTGATTCGTTATTCAGGACAATCCGAGTAACACCAAGGAGCTATGTGAGAGTGCTTATACTAACCTCGTCGAAGACAAGATTGATGAATCGCAGGGAGAGCATTAGGGTTAGTGTCATTTCAGCAACCGGAACACCCAAGTATCTCAACGGAAGCAGGAACCAACGCAAAGCAGACGCTAGTTGTTCTGGTGTTGTAGTTGCAAGGCAAAGGCTAGCACTTTGAAAGATCTTCACAAGGATATAAAATGCACATATTAGCCGAACATCCGGTCTCTAAGTTCTTTGATGATTTCCCCATCACCTTCCCTTGAGATCATATAAGAGAGGAACCCAAAGCGAATTGGAAGAAAAAGGAACTTACAGTGAAGGTTAAGCATGCAGCTGTGCTCGCAACTGACAAGCCTTTCCTCGTAAATTGCAGAGGACCTAGCTTCAGAATCAAGTAAGAGTAACCTTGCAAAGACTGTGGAAGGTTAGGCAACCCTGTTACAGTAGCCGGTGGAGTTCTCAACTGCACAAGTGGAGGTACAGAATCCGAACCAAACCCTAGCATCAAGAACAGAATCCCGGATAGCAGTGAAACCCTTCCCAATTGATCCTACACAAAGAACACAACCAACAGCTCATTCCTAGGATTATACAAAATTTCATTAGCTCACCATTGAAAGAAAAAACATAGCTAACTCTATCATAATTTACCATCCAGACATTGCGAGGGAGGACGATAATCGATAGAGCAGCCAAATAGGCGACCAATCCGAATCGCATTACTATGTGCGATCTTGCTGGCAGGACAACAAGAGCCAGCAGCCATATCTGCAAAATTCAGATCAACCCAGAAGCACAGATTAACCAAATGGGTAATGGAAACGACTCTTGACGTTGGCTAAGACAAAAAGGGTGAAGCTTCAAACTTCCTTTTTACCAGTTTGATTCTAGGGTCGACGGAATGGAGAAACGTGGTGGGTGAAGAAATGTACTGGGCGATGGGACTGGCGGTGGCGCCGGCGATGAGTCTGAATATCTTGTCGGCGGCGAGAGCACCATTAGGCAGCCGGCTCACCAATTTCTCAATCCGATTGGCCGTATTGTCCGCTGAAGCTCGAACTTTTGCGCTCCTCGGCCGAAGATTTCGACTAGCCAAGCTGAGGGAGACGGGAGCTCCGCCGCTAAACCTAGTATTTGGGTAAAATTGAGAGGAAGCTAGAGGGACTCGGAATCTTGAATTAGGGTTTGGGCCGGACGAAGGGGAGGATAAGGTTGCCGCCGAGATATTACAGCCGGCGACGCTCATCGGCGAGTTTGTCGATGGTGAGAGTGGGGATATGGAATTTGGGGAAAAATCAAACGGAGCAAACTCCACCTCCGGATTCTCAAACGGGTTCGCGGATTAGAAACGTAGGAAAAGAAAAAATCTGTCAGTCTGAGGTCGAAATGAGGTGGGACCCACGTACGCCGCCGCGGGTTTCTCCCTTCGACGAGCGGCCAAGCCGACGGTGACCGACGCGGCGGCTGTAATTGGCAGGGGGTTTTATAAATCCGGTACATTTTCCAGCTTAAATCCACTTTTGTGTATCTTTTGGTGATCTAAACCTGCATTGCAATATGCCAATAACATAGCCCAATGTGCCTAATAACATAAAAGCTTTTACATCAGGAATCAAAGAACGCAAACTTGAGACACAAGAAAGAATGCTATTGAATTACAATTCTCACTACACAAGAAAAGAGGGGAGAGAAATTGAGAGAGCACTCATGAACACAATTGATGGCAATGGTGCGGGTAAACAAACGATATTCAAATTCCCGCTTTCTACTAGCCAAGGATCCTCCGTCGTGCCTCGGCCTCTTCAGCTCCGGCGTGGAGAGCTCCGGTGCACAGCAACTGGGCTGCACTCGCGACTATGGTCATTACTTCCAGAGTCCTCTGTTCCATCAACGAAAAGGGGGGGGAATGTTGAACTATCATATTAAGATTTCTTGTGTTGCAAGCTAGAAACATGACCTTTTTAGGTTCTATGGTTTCCTACTTACCAAGTTAGCATCAGTCCACCCTAGGTCAATCTCTTTACACGCCAACCTGCAATCAAAAGGACAAACCAAACTCACCACCTCTCTCCATTTTCAGATACAATGAAGAGAAAAAACAAGAAGTAGCATACCCCATGGCTAGAAGTGTGAGTGCCAACGAGGTCAGGGAAGACGAAGCTGCAGCATGGAGGTTCGCTGCATTCGATACCAGAACGTTCTGGATTCCAGTCAATGATGTGGTGATGCCCACGATTCCAGCCAGGAGGGAGATCACAACAAAGAATCCGGTAGCCATGTTCCCCATGGGGAAGAAGATGGGGAAGATCCGAGCTGGGATGGATAGAACAGAAGCTGCATTTTGGTGCACATGCAAGAAGAAACATGGTTCAGTATAAAATCTATCCCACTATTTCCCCGAAACTAAATCTTCGAAGAATCGTGATTTTTTTTTTACCTGCTTCATGTGAGCGGAGAATTGCATGGTTTATGGCCCATGAAGCAATGACAATGATGATGAAGTAGAGGAGAATGTTGACGATCAAGAGAAGCATGGATGCAGATCTAGATGCTCCAGAAGCCATGCTGGATTTTTGGCCTGGGAACTAAGAAAGAATGCTAAGAGGAATTCCTAGCCTGGCAATTTGGTTGTGGTTTAGATGAAGCACTATATATATCAGAAGGAACAAGTTAAATCATTCTCTTCTGGGTTCTGTGAACCTTTCATTATAAAATTGGATGGCCTTGGTATCAAAGGAATGACTCTAATGCCTTTCTTTCCCTCTTTCATTTGAGTTTGCCTCTTCGAAAGGAAAGGTATCAAATTTTCAGGACCTGAAAGTCCTAGTTTGGATAAGCCTTTCTTCTGCATGCAGGGGTAACAAAGGAATAAAGTTCCTTGCTACCTGCAAAATGATGCAATCCTTTTCTTTCTCCTCACCCTATAAGGATTACTTTTCTCTAACTGTTGCTATTCGCAGACCTTTCGCATAAAGAGAGGAGAATCTCCAGAAGATGAAAGGAAAAGAACAAAGCTAAACTTCTCAGAAAGCCAGAGATGAACTCAGGTCTATTCATTGTCCAACCATCAAGAATCAAAAGTTATTGGAAAGAGAGCAACAATTCATCAGTCGATTTACCTTCGACAGCAGCAACTCAGAAACATTTATTTACACTGATCTTTTCATGAAGAGCCAGGACAAAGAAAAAGCCGATGCTGCACTCAGGCTAACCCACTAAATTGAAAGAAATTGTGTTTCTCATCAGACCTTCAAAGCAAGCTTCTGAGCAGCAAGAGCTTCAGCCTCAAGGGTTGGTTGCCATAAGAGTGTAGTCTCCGCCAATAATGAAGTCACGATGTACGGGTCCATGTTTGAGGCCGGGCGACGGTCCTCCAAGTAACCTGGCAGCCACAAATATGCAAAGGTTTGGATGTAACTTTAACCATCATAGAGCTAAGAACATATACAGTAGCGGGAAAAAGTTTGCACCTTTGCCTTTCTTCTCAGTGTCGCGTCCCACTCGAATTGAGGCACCGCGGTTAGCAACTCCCTACAAGTTGAGGTTCCCAAAAACAATCATTATCCATAATGCAAGAAACTTGACTTCAGATATTGAGTGGAGGAAAGGAAAGAAATGCTCATTGCCATCCATACCCAAGAAAACTTGTCAATGCTGGCAGTCTCATGCTTTCCCGTCAGCCTTCTCTCGTTACCTTCACCGTAAGCACTGATATGGTCCTTATGGCGAAGAGATAGATTCAATATGGCCTTCTTAATCACTTCAAAACCTCCATCTTCCCTCATGCTCTTTGTGCTGCAACCACATGCAACAGATTAACTTCTGTTATATAACTCGTCCCAGTTAACCTAGCCATTTGCTTTGAAAAAGTGATATAAATCCAATTACCTGTAGTTGGTATGGCATCCTGCACCATTCCAATCACCCTGTCCGCATCAATGGAAGCTTTGGTAAGTTCACTTGCATTAACAGAAGTTGGCCAGAAGAAAACATGAACATAGATAGTACCTCAATTGGTTTTGGGTCAAGGGACAGCACAACTCCAGCTTGTTCCGTGATTCTCTGTCAGGACACCAACAAAAACTTTAAGTTGAGTACAAAGCTTCGATGTTGTTTATATGGTGAAAGGGCATCAAAATTCATAAATAAATACCTCAAGAATGTATCTGGAACACCAGATATGATCTGCTGCATCAATGCCAACACTAGGACCAACCTGATATTCCCACTGAAACAGAAATTTGATCGTAAGAAGGTGACAAAGGAGGATGTACCAAGTTTCTAAAATAAGGTGTTTCAGCAGTTACATAACAGGGGGGAAAAAGGACATCAGACATGAGAGGCAAACCTGGCCAGGCATGACCTCTCCGTTGGTGCCACTAACGTTGATTCCGGCATACAGGCAAGCTTTATAGTGTGCGTCTGATATATCACGACCAAAGGACTTATCTGCCCCAGCACCACAGTAATAAGGACCCTGAAACAAAGCACATAGTAGGATCAGTTATCACTCATTCAGTCACATAACATGAATTCAATAACTTGGAAAGTAGCTGCTTGGTTTTATACCTGAGGACCAGGGTAGCCACCAACAGGCCACCCCAAAGGCCACTTCACATTTTGTTGAAGCAATGTGTACTCTTGCTCTATCCCATACCTACAGTTGAAAACTCTTGTCGGTCAATTACACAACGGAATGAATTCTTTGTAATGCACAGGAATAGGAATATTTGGTCACTCAACTTCGAACTTTAATGAATTTTTTCATTAAAGTTTCGACTAACTAACATAACAGTATCCCCATTAAGTTTTCTTCCCAAAATTTCGAAATCAATGTGTCAACTCACCCAAATTGATGATAGAGAACCCTCATATAGACCCTTTAATTAGCTGTAGGGTAAGGGAGCAATATATTAAGGTGGTACCGGATGAGGTGGGTTGAAATTGAGCAGTCAAAACTCAAAAGTTTGGTTTTGATCAGATTTGGATAAAATGGGTCATCCATGTCAGCTTATACGGGCATAGGTGGTCTTCTATTATAAATAGTATGTGTGTGTTGGCATGCTGATTTGGACAAAAACTCTTACTGGGATGCACAAAGTGGCTACTACTTTAATTATTTTGAACTCCACTGACAAGTTTGTTAATGACCCTGACATTTAGTGACCATTTCATATAAAATATCAGAATGGCATACCATGGAACTTCAGCGATAACCTTTGGGTCACTGAAGATTTCAGCAGCCCGGTAACGCTTGTTGGTGGGGATTGGCTCACCAGCTGGAGTGTATGCATCACAAATGACCTTTATGGAAAAGAGACGGAAATCAGCTGATCAACAAGTACTGTCAAAGAGCTAGGCTGGATTACCACCAATATGACGATTCAGTTCGATAAACAAGAACTCACCAAGATATTGTTACCTCCACGGAATGGGTCTTTGAAAATTGCTTGTGGGCTGAATCAAAGGGTTTAAAGTCAGTAACCTATATAAATAAGAAGTAAAAATGGAGAAAGACACTTAAGTGTGCTTGTTTAAGCACAAGATATCTTACTATATAATAACCTCACTGTCTTCTCCCGGTGCCTGCCCAGTACTTGATCCATCATAATTCCACTTGGGAAGCTCAGATGGATGCTCCACAGGCTTCTCAATTGTCTGTTGCAACAGAGACGTTGAAATAAGAAGAAGAGAAAAAAAAGGAGCAGCCATTATTACACTTTGGAGAAAGAACAAGACTATGCCAAATTTCAGTCCTGGTTATATAATGTACCCTCGCTTTGCTACGAAGATCAATGCCTGATCCTCCAATCCTGTGGCGCAACAAAAGAACGAATTAATGAATCAGAAGATACAATCATATTTCATGTGGAAGTTGGGAGCTGAGATGTGGCATGCATACCAAATGTACTCAGCAATGATCTTGTCAGTGAATGGGGTGATATCCAAGTTCAAGAGATTGTCTAGCCTATTGATAGTGCTGTTCTCGGCCTTGATTGCAAAGACGCGGAATTTGGAAGCACCTTTTGTAGTTCCCCTCTTCTTCATCACCAAGGAACTCCACATCTTTCCAGCCATGGGGTTCACAGGTGCTGCCACCTTGTTTGACAGTCTCACCTGGCATTGCGAAGATGGTGCCAAGATATGGGCCATTTTCGCCAAATCCACAACCCCTGGAACTCCCAGAACCAAGTAAATGAGCTCGTCAATTTGAGAAATCACAACACTATACAAACTAATGGAACGACACCAACCACAACTCAAAGGGCATTCATCCTTTAAGTCTACAAGCAGACTAACCAATACATCGAATTCAACTCTAGTTGTGTTCACTCATTGGTAGTTGAGTAGCCATAAGAAAGGAGGGACATACCAACAGCTCAGTCCCCCTCTTTGCTAAACAAATCTAGTATCTGGAGACTTGGTTTATCCTTTGCTTATTCATAAATTTGGCTTCTATTCGGGTTTTAGTATATGCTGTAACAGGTTTTTCCTAGCAAGATTAAAGACAGCTGATCATCAAAACCCTCAGATAATGATTTGGGTGCCTGTTATCTGCTAACCTATCTGATAATGTGGACCAGGGCAAGCAATGGGGGACCAGGTCAACCTATGGTCTAAAATTCCTCATAAGAATGTTAATATCTATATACTTTCCTCCCAGCCAATAAAGGTATCACCTTTTATCTGCTCTACACGCCATTGAAACATGTGAAAAGTCTTCAATGAAAGCATTTAGCAGCAATCCCAGAAAAGAAAATGATCTCTGATTCTCTCAGTAGCCTAAACCACATGCTAAAAGGAAATGGGCAGTGCTTCAAGATGGGAATTGCCAAACATCTGAGTAATGGATCCCTAACAATGCACCCAAAACTATGCACTCCAAAGCATGTCAAAATCAAAATGCTTGTTGCAGAAACCCAAATGCCAGAAAGGTGAGATGCTTTACAGATGGCTTACCGACTGGGGGAAATGCCTGGGAATGGGTTGGAGAGCAGACCAAAGAATATGGGAAGTTGCAGAGAACTGAAGTGGAAGGAGAGAAGAAGGGTGGAGAAAGTGAGCTGAGGGTTTTGTGTTCAGAGGCTCCTATTAAAAGAGAGGCCCTTTTTCTTTCTGGGTTTTTCCCATCCCAACTAGAAAACAAAAGAGTGTGTTGGCTTTTCCTTTGCAGTTAGGGGTAAGGCACCATGTGTGGATGACATTTGGATTATGGTCTCTTTGGTTGCACCAAGCGATCCGTGGACTACAAAAAACAACGCTTTAAAAAAAGATAAGGTTTCAATCTTCTCCATCCATCAGAGTTTATCAATGTATAATATTTGCCTCACCCCACATAATAATAGGTTAAAAGTCGTACGATTTATGTTAGTTCGATCGAATTAGTATAGGATTGAGGTTTTGGATTCATCAGTCATCACCATTGGTCTTTAATTAATTAACCCTAAACATCTGCTGACATGTTTTTGGAAACACTTACTGTCATTACTCAATAACCTGGTGAACTCTAATCCCTGCCAAGGAATCTAAATTTTCTGCCACATGATAACGGCAGCAAGTATAATTCAAAATACAATTACAAAAAGAACACTCTGACTATGGTGCTCTCAGTCATAGCACCAACTTTATGAGCACTATAACCTAATCCAAACACAAGGTTTCTTTTTGTTCCCGCAATCTCATTCATAATTTAAGATACTTTTACTTAATTGATGAAATAAACTTCTACGAGATAAATAACATCGTACAAAACTAGAAATGATGAAGCTTATTGCTAAGCTAGTGTTGTCATGCATGACCTCGAAAAGAAACAAAGAGCTATAGATAACTTCACCATTCAATCAATTGCTTATAAGTTATTATGCTTAAGAGAAAGATCTACTTTCATTTTTATTGGCATAAATTTACTAAAATTCAATACAAAGTTTCACATTCCATATTTGATGAAATTCGTTTATACACATTTTTTCCCTTACATTGAAAACTACACCGCACGTCCAACATGAAGTTGAACATATCTTTCATTTAAAACTTTTGGTCTTGACCACAAGGAACCACATCCATTCGTTCTCGAACCCAATTGCACATTGCACGTGAACAAACACACCCGCAAACCGATCCACCCGTCCGACCCAACCCACCCGTATTTATTGCTAAATCGAAGGTTTTGGGTTGGGTGAGAGTTTTCTTTTGTACAACCCGCCTCTTTTGGGTTGGGTTTCGATTTTGGATTACACAACCCGTAGAACCCGACCCAACCCGTGTTCCAATTATTGGTATGAGTTCGTATCCAAAAAATTATTTATGTCGTATATAGTCATACTTATGAGAAAATTAGGATATTTCGCCATGTTTTTCTCTTAAAGTCTCCTAATCTAATGCATTCTTCGACTTAAAGTTTAGACATATATTTAATATAGCTATGATTCACGTAATTTTTTTTCTTGTGTACAATTTTAAAAGAATATCATATTATGGATGCGTTCATTTGTAACTTTTTTAGCCTATTTCAACAAATGTCGTAAAAAAACTAGACATAAGTTGAAGTAAATCAAGTTTTATTAAAATTCAACAATATTTGTGAATTTTGATACCTTTCACCTAAGTTTTTTCGTTTGAATTTTTAATTTGTTATAAAATATTTTTATGATGTAGAATAATTACATATTTTGTGTTGGGTTGGGTTTTTACTTAAAAATATCGTCAACCCGACCCAACCCAATTAGAAACAAACCGTAGGGTTTAGATTTTTTTGGGTGGGTTTGGGTTTAATATTTCCCAAACCGTAGTGCATGGGTCGGGTGATTAAAATGCCTAAACCCGGACCACCCGACCCATGTACACCCCTTGCACCTGCTCCATGCCATGTAGAATATGCACCACACTAATAAAAAAAATTGCACAAATACTTCTTTTAACAAACAAGAACCATCACTCATGCTACTCCGATATATAGTACTTCTTAAAATATAAAATACTTCAACAAGGATCTTGGATGGTAACGTAGTAAAAATCCATTGATGTCCTTATAGTATCCATATACATACTAAATTCGTTTAAAACTCTCATTCTGACACATCATAATAGAGTTGTTTAACTTAGAATAACTTGTAAAATTTTGTACATATTAATTTCCTAACATACCCACCTCCTATCTTACTAATTATGGTAAGTATGATTCCGTTGCAAAAGTTTTTACTTACTGTGGTTACTGGTAGTGGTAGGTATGATTCCATTGCAAAAAGCGATAGAAAACCACTTATTGGCAGGTGGAAGAAGGTGCATATCCCACTACACCAGATCCCACATGCTTTCTTTTATGCGCCTGCACATTAAGGAATATGAGTTTGTGAGTGATTTATGTATGGATGTCAATTTCTAAGTTGGAGTTCTGTATGACAATTGTATCGTTAACTTCGAGTATCCAATCATTCGCTACTCAGTTAACAAAGAAAATTTGCGTATTGATTATGCATGGACGGATATGATATGAGTAAACCCACAAATTGCTCCCTACCTCCAACCAAAACAAATCCAAAGTGGTTAATCTCTTGACTCATGTGCAACTTTTGGGTAAGTTGAGAAATAAAAACTCACCAGGCGCCAACAGACTTCCACTCTCTCCTCTTTGGGTCTCAATGTCTTGGGCTTGAAAGCCCAAACCCAATGACACATTAGGATCGGGATCTGGATCCTTTATGGTTTGTCTTCTTCCTCGGCACACTTACACACGTACGAGGCCCCAATCAACTGGGTATCTGCCACGTGTGAAGGCCACAGAACCGAACAGAGTATGAGTGAGAGAGGAAGAGAGAGAGAGAGAGAGAGAGAGAGAGGTCTATTTGGTGGTGGAGTGAAAAAAAGAACAACAAATGGAAGCCAACTAGAACAACACCACCACCATACCGGAAGGAAGAGCAAGCTACAAACCAAAACACCATTAAACAACTTCCCCGCAAACTAAAATTAATATTCCTTCTTCTCTTTCTGCGTCTTCTGTTCCATCTCTGTTTCCCCAATTTCCTCTCTTTCGTAGAACTACTCCTCTTAACCCCCAAAAAAACTGCCTCTTCTCCTCTCTCCGTTCCTTCCTTCGGTTGCATCAACCTAAGTGACACCTCTGCTTCTTCACCCATCTGCGGGATTTCCTGCCTTCTCCAGTATTTTACTCTTTGTCAATAGTAGCAGGAGTCAGGGGCTCAGAGGTTTCCAAAGAGAGTCAGAAAAAGGAATTCTTTTGCGAGGAAATATTAGATCCAAAAGTCTTCGCTTTTTTGAATCTGCTCTTCATGGAGCAGCTCGTCAACTTTATCATACGCCCGCCCAGGTAAGGATTAAGACAGTTTCCTGTGGCGAATTTCGTATCGTTGCTATTGTTCTCTGTATTGGGTCTCTTTCGGTAGTTCGCGCTGGATGCTTTTTGGTCTGTGGGGAAAAAGACTGTGATTTTGACGGGGAAGTAGTGGGTTTGGAATCTGGGTTGGAGAGAAAGACTGGAACTTTGTACTATAAATTAGGTTGGAAGTTTGGAATTGTGATTTGATGTTAGTTGGGGAAGAGAGCAAGGCAGTGTAAGATTCGTCATAGGCTTGATCTAGAAGTTTACTTTCTGGCCAAACAGCAAGTGATCTAGGTTTAGTTCTCGTTTCTTAGGATTTGGGTCGGAACAGGAGATCCTTGATTGTTTGTTGTAGGTTTTGTTGGACTATTGAACTCATGTTTAAGGTAAAAAGGTGATTCGTCTGTTCCCCTTGTGTTGTTGAGCTGGTTCTTGTTGTTACTGTAACACCATTCTGGTTTGTTATCTGCTAAGATCTCGGCTGCTTAAGAGGAATTGAAGTTGCTTGTTATGGATGGTGTATTTGATGTTATCCTCCTCAGTTTGTTGCAACTATGAAATCCATGTAGCCTTTCAGTAACTAATGGTTTGAGTCCTTGGTGATAGTTTCGCGGTGGGGAACTCATCTAATGAACTTGCTTAATACTTTCTAAATTGACAACGGTGGGAGAAGCAACACAAATTAAGCTGAAAGTATTTGTTTGTCTGCAGAGCTGAATACAATCCGAAACATGATTTGTTGGAGCAGGAGTTCATGCTGCGAGGGAAATTATACCAGAGAAAGGATGTTGAGGTGAGCCGTTGAAAACTTCTCTTTGAATGAAATGTTTTTTATGCTTATGTCTTATGGTTCTAGTGGTTATGGTTTCTAAGCATTGTTTCTTAAATATTATTCAGATTAAGAACAACAGAGGAGATGTTCTTCAGTGCACTCATTATGTCCCCATCGTGAGTCCTGAAGGAAAGCCATTGCCCTGCGTAATTTATTGCCACGGAAACAGGTAACTGAGGAATGATACCTTGTCGAATCAACTGCTTATAGCACTATTCTTGTTTAGGATAAAAAAGATGATACTGTTGCGGTGTCTAATTTAGAACAACTGCATCCTTTATTGTGGTGTATTAGTTGATTCTGAACTTTATTTATATGAAACATATCTTTATATTCATTGTGGAGTTCTTTTAAGAGGATCTCCATGTTCTGTTACTTTGGGCAGTGGGTGCAGGGCTGATGCAAGTGAAGCTGCTATCATACTCTTGCCTTCCAATATCACAGTTTTCACTCTTGATTTCTCTGGATCCGGTCTCTCTGGTGGAGATCATGTTACCTTAGGATGGTATGAAGTAAGTGACAAGATAATACATGCTTTAGGAATCTTATGTTTGTTACATGAGAGGTTACTGTACCATTATCTTGCTTCTTTGATGGTTTAACATTTTCTCTCACTGTTTTCCCAGAAAGATGACCTGAAGTCAGTTGTTGATTATTTGAGACAAGATGGGAATGTCTCTTTGATCGGGTTGTGGGGCCGATCAATGGGTGCTGTCACCAGGTTCACTCCCCCTAACTTTCTTCATGTTCTTATTATCGGCATGTGCAGCAGTGTTCAATTGTGAACACGGAGACGTGATTTTCTTTCTTGCACTACTGATGGGGGGTCTTTCCATTTTCCATCATTCGCTGGCACTGTCTAACTCCAAGTTCACGAAGAGTTACTAACAATGTAAATTTCTGCTGCAGCCTAATGTATGGGGCACACGACCCTTCAATTGCTGGAATGGTGCTGGACAGTCCCTTTTCTGATTTGGTTGATTTGATGATGGAACTCGTGGACACCTACAAATTCCGTTTACCAAGATTCACTGTAAGCAGTTTTGAATATTGGGCAGTTTGTCATAGTCTTCCAATGGCTTGAGGAAGACTGCATCACTGCTCCAGGTTCAAGTCTTGGTTTTACTGTTTCCTTACACCCAATCTCTTGTGCTTTTTTCTCAGGTGAAATTTGCTATCCAGTACATGAGAAAAGCAATCCAGAAGAAGGCTAAATTTGACATAACGGATCTGAACACTATTAAGGTGACGTTTCCCTTTCTGCCCTTTTACACGTTAGTATATAGTTATAAATAGAGGAGCTACTCCAATGAATTTTCTGATATTGTGGGGAAAAAATACCTTGTTATGCATCTTCCTTATAGGTAGCCAAATCTTGCTTTGTTCCGGCTTTATTTGGGCATGGGATTGAGGATTATTTTATACAGCCTCATCATTCCGATCGGATATATGAAGCATACATGGTAAGTTCCCCTCCTCCTGTAGTTAACAAGTCCTAATGTCTTGCAATTCTCCTCCTTGGATTTCATATGTTTATGCATAAATTTTTTGCAGGGAGACAAGAATATCATCAAATTTGAAGGAGATCACAATTCTCCACGCCCACAGTTCTATTTTGATTCGATAAACATCTTTTTCCACAATGTGTTGCAACCTCCAGATGATGAGATTGCAGGGCCTTATTTGGACACAATGATGGATTACTTTGGTAAGGTAAATTGCACTCCGATCACTACCCTTCAATATGGTTAACTGATTTGACAATTCATCGATATTCCCATCGTCCACCAATTATGGAATTTTTTTTTTGGTTATCTTCAGCATAGTTGGAACAGTGACTATGACATAAGTGATACCCCAGAATCTTCAGTTTCACCAAAAGGTATGAGCTTTACACCGATTAACCATAACTTCTAAGTTTCTTTCTTTTTAGTTTTTGTTTTGCTGGCAGTATCTGACCAGGTTTCCTGTTTATGTATATGTCAGTGGCAGGACCGTCAACAAACAGCAGCACAGAAGATGCTATCAAGCAAGTCCGACTAAGAAGACCCATGAGTCGGATTGAGGTAAAACAGTTAATCTATTAGCAACTCAGCGGGAACTTTATATACTTGAAACTATACGTCTGTTTCGAAAAAGTATGTATTGAGGTATCAAGCTAAATTTGTCCAAGTCAATCAATAAGCATCCATCAAACGCATGAAGTGTGGTGCAGTCTCTTCTTTACACATTCAAACTGATTTCATGAGCACGGTCTTTTTTTGAACTGTACAATGTATGAATCTCTTGTATTCTTTCTCGTGACTGTTAACTGTGTTCTTCCGATCCGGTTAGGTTCCCTCGGATATTCCATCGACAGAAGACCAATCCAAAAATGAGGGCGGAGAAACTGACGATAATGATCTAGTACCATCGTCGTCTTCTCGAATGATTAGCTTCGAGCTGGCCTCCAATGGGAATCCATATGGTCCACATGTTCCGACAGCGCCAGATGATGATCAGTACGTAGAATACCAACTGGAGGACTTGTCAGCCGCCCCATCTAACGCAGAGGAGGAAGAAAGGGTGGGTTATATCGCTTTGATTCATGTACTATGCTGAAAAAGTGAGAAGAAATGCCGTTTTTATGTTGTCCTAACCTCAACTCATTCTATCTGTTAGATGCTGATGGAAGCAATCATCGCATCCTTAAAGGACATGGATGTACCAGCAAACTCCACTGGTACAGAATTATCTCTAAGTGCAGCAGTAACAGCTGCATCAGATGTCCAGACTAGTGATTCAAAAGAGGAGCTGCTACAAGTGGTTTCAAAATCGGCAGAATCAACATCCTCTTCTTCGTCGAGCAATGGTGAAGCTTCGAGTGCAGAACGTCCATCTTCCATAGTGGAATCAACGACGACAGCAACAAGTCGTGGTGACACTACATCAACTGGCAGCATTGTGGAGACTGACTTGTCTGGTAAGACAAAAGCGACACTGACAGTAGAACGGAACCCTATGAACCATAACATTATGGATGGTATAATGCGGCGTTGGGATTTCAGCCTGTTCAGAAACAACCGATGATGAAAAGACGAAGGGGGGTAAACGAGCTTATGAGGTTCCTGCTCCCCTGATTGAAGTTGGAGATTCGTTTGTTCTGTAATTAAAGATAGAATCAGGGTGGTTTTTTTTTCCTAGTAGATTTGTGTAAAGGTGCTTTTGAGAAGAAAGCGAAAAAAGAAACAGAAGAAGAAAGATGATGATCATGGTTTCTGCTACTTCTATTGATTCCTCTGATGCAAAGGAAAAAGGAAGAAATTTGTAATGGTTTACTCTCACTGTGGCCGTGTGGAGCTGTTTGATTGATTGATTGATTTTGTGCTTTCACGATCCTCTTTCCGCCTTTTTCCTGTGGAACTAAGGCATGCTTTGATTCTTTTTAAACCTGCCGTTTATTCTTAGTTCAAATTGAATCAAATCAATAAATCATAGTTATAGAACTTGATTGTACAAAAATACAGGTATAGTTACATGCATTTGCAACAACATGGTCATTATTCCAAAGGGAAAAAGAATCTCCATGATTTAGTTGAGAATTCCTTCAATATTTATGTACAGAGCATCCACCATTAATGTCTTATCGCGCCACGAGCAACTCCATCGCGGTTTCTACCAACGAGTGAATGCTTACGCTGTGACGGCTCATTCCTACCGTACCAGAGAATATGTTGAAGCTCTCGAGTTCCGAAGTAGTTTCCAATACACATTCCAAATCCTTCTCAAATCCAAGCTCTCTAAACACCTCAGCATTTCCCCTGTTTTCCCTCATCATCCAAATCGCCAGCTCTATGCAGAATCTCCTTATTCTGGGAACCTTTGTTGGTGGATCTTCGTACTTTCGCAACGTTGTTACGATTATCGTCGCCAATTGAACATTCGTCATTCCTGCTCTCTGAAACATCAGGGCCGATTCCTGAGGGGTCATGAACTTGAATGCTTCTGCTGCTAGTCCCACCATTACCTCCTGCAGTTTCTTGTCTTCTGATGTGATTGCTTTCAGCACCTGCACAAATAGAAATGACAAAATTGTCAACCCGAAAAATTGCTAAATCGACCCAATCCTGACTCGTAACTCATATTAGCACGACTCGATTAACCGACAACTCGATCCTCGCCCTACCCATTTAATCGATATCCTGACTTGTCTATGACTTCTACTCGCGAAATATTGAGACGAACTAATTCTTCAACGACGCAAGTTAACGAAAATTACTAACCGTGGGAGCACAAGCAGTGACATCCTTCAACTGATCAAAGCTATCCCCTCCACTATAGATGCACAAGTTCCTCAGGATCCTGCCAGCATTCACCCTGAGCACAGGAACCTCGAGCGCCGCAACGAGTTCGCTGAGCACCTTCAGCTTCAGAATCCTGTGACAATTGCTCCTGCTCTCCAAAGCCAGCATCGCCAGAGCTTCCCCTGCTGCAATCCTGACATGACTCTGAATCGACCCGGGCCCATCTCGCTCGAAGAAAATGTTGAACAGTTCCTTCAGGATCCCACCGGTTCCACCGATCCTCTCCGTCGCCTCCTCCTCCTGCGCTAAGCTCGTCAGGATCTCGATGCTCAACTTCTGCAGCATCGGATGCTTCCCGCCGTGCCGCAAGATGTCTCTAATGTTGCTGATCGTGAAAACCACCTCTGATATCTCCTTCCTCAGTTGTTTTCCTGTAGCCCCCGTTGTGCTCGCCAGCATTTTCATCACCTGAAGCGATCTCTTCACCGTCAGGATCTGCGAAAGCGCCGCATTTTCATCCTTCAGCAGCTTTTCTCCGGCGTGGGTGAAATCGATGATCTTCGGCAACAATCCTCTAGTATTCCCAATCTTGCCGCAGTTGTCATGATCCCTCGCAAGCTTCTTCAGAATCAGAAGTCCCAAATGGTTAAACGTCCAGAATCCGTACCCGAAATGATCGCACACAATCTTCTTCTCCCCAACTTCATCGGCTGCTGGTCTGTTTGCCTCTCTGTTCGTCCGAAGCAACGACGAGATCGACTCCATCGCCCCTGGAATCCCCGCGACACGAAGCGAATTCTGCTTCTTCCCTGCCAGCTTCGACAGGACCTCCGAAGCTGATCGACGAATCTCTTCCTCCTGCAAATCCTTCCAATTCAGCATCTCCACGAGCCGTTCGATCACCGAGATGTTCGTCCCGACCTTCTGCAGAGTATCGTCGGAGAATCGCTCGCTTATCGAAAACTGTCGGAGGACTCTGGCTCCAATCAATTGCTCATCAGGGGAGGTGGATGACAAAAGCTCCATGGCGAACGAGACGACGTCCATCTTCAATCCGTCGAAGATCGATCCGTTGACCGATCTCGAGTAAGCGTCGTAGAAGAATCTCTTGATCGAGACCATTCCAGAGGGTCCCAATTCGCACTCCTGATTCACTTGCTCGAGGATTTTGCAGTAGATCACTTTCCACTCCCAGTAGGCCTTTTCCAAGAGGAAGAGCAGAGCCTCTGCCAGAGCTAGCGAGTAGAAGATTGTTAGAGCTGCTTTTCTGTTTCGCTTATCGGTGTCTGTTTTCGAAACTTCGCCGTAGTTGTGCTGGATTAGCTTCATGAGAGACAGAGTAACGCAGGCCGTGGCGGATGCGAGCTGGAGCCAGTAGAAGACTTTGCTGACGTTCTTGGAGAGGAAGACCCATTTCCCGTAAGGCAGAATCGGGACGTCGGAGCTCGTCCACGTCCGGCTAATCGACTTCCTCCGTTGATGCCAGCTGGCTGAACCGTTGCTCGGTGGATTTGACTCTGTTCCCCTGTTTTGTCTTCGACTCTGTTTTTGAATCGGCCGGAATATTGTCCTAACTATCCCGGCGAGAAAATGGGGGCTAGATCTCAGCGCACGGAAGCTGTTGACTCCGGCGTCCGAGATTGACAACGTGGCCTGATGCTGCCATTCGAGCTCGTGGCTTCGGCTAAAAATCCGGGCGCCTTCGATCAGCAATATAACGGTGATCAGCCAGAAATCGGTCTTGTCAAGTATGATGGCGAAGCCGCCGAGGAGGACGACGGTGGCCCAGATGAACCCTAGAGTGCCCAAGCTGGTGGCGGCTTTCTCGAGGACGGCGAGGCGGAGGGCGAACAGAGTCAGCTTCTTCTCCGGCGCGGTGGCGGCCGGGTTCATGACCGTCGGGGAGACGGAGTTCGCGGTGCTGCTGTCACGCTTCTCCACTCCTCCTACTCCGCTCCCCTGCGGCTCGAAGATCGTGGCCGACGAGGAGCCGTAGATTTCGCTCAGGCGGCGGAGCTCCACCACTTGGAGGTGAATGCTGTGGTTGCTTCCCTCTTCCTCTGCCGACTTCCCTGTCTCCATTTCCGGAAAATTGGAGCTAACCCAGTTCTGATTTTTTAGGGTAAAGGTCGAAACTTTGGTGAGAAAAATGTGATGGATTGTTGAGAAGATGAAACGTGGTGGGTTTTATAGAGAGGGAGAGGAAGGATTGAGCTTAAGGAACAACGTTGATTGTGTGTGTGAGGGATGATGATGATGATGAGGTGGAAACTGGAAAAATGGGGGAGAGACGCTTCAGTTGTTGGTTGCTCTGTTTTTTTCCGCCGTGTTTTCGTGGTGGAAGCGAAAGGCTTTTCTCCCCCTGGGTTTCTTGGGCGGAAAGGCTCGCCCTGCTGCCACTAGGAGTTTGCTTTTGCGGATCATCTCAAGTCAAGACAATGGAAGCGGGAAAAAAGTTACCCGCCATTTTCTGGTAATGACCGAAGTCAGAATGATTGCCCTGCTTTAACCTTTTTCAAACTTCCTCCCTGTAAATCTGGAAAAGAGGCCATTACAGAAACAGAGGATGATACTTCCTTTCTTTACAAGGAAAAGAGGTGGTACATGTTTATGGTGCTGCTAAATCAATTTGGCTAAGATGCTGAAGGGCTCGGTCATCAGCGTTTGTTGTCATCGTTGGATTCGACGTTTTATGTAAGTTTATGTTATTAGATGTTACAATAAGATATCACTTACAAAATAATGTCATGTTGAAGGTATGATCCAACAACACTAGTGTTGTGTTTAGGGCCAACAACGCTAGTGAGCGCTTATGCTTAGACCTATCATTCTATCAACGTGCAAAATGGAGTTAAATTGTTGTTTTTAATTCGCTTTTGTTTTTTCCTTAAGCGAGAGAACCACTCTTCCCATCACACCATATTAAACTGTACCAACATCAACACAAAGTTCAACTACTTCATACGGAGAAAAACAAACAACGTCATTCTAGCGGTTTCAATATACGATCTCTCGCGATGAGAATACCTAGCAAGAATATGGGATGTCGATACACTACAAAGATAATTGGCAATTGATAAGTCAACCATCATTCATATCCGTACTCTAGTTTATTTTGTGTTCTTTTCCCGAGGTCTTGTTTTGGAGAGAATATGCTTTGCTGGGGAACAAAATCGACAAGGAAGAAGCAACTGACAGACACCCATGAATGATTTCCACCTAATTATGATTATACTTAACGAGCAGACAACCTCGGAATGAATTAAATTGTCAGGGAGGGTGTCCCAAAGTCAAACGATAACCGCCTGTTAGCCTTGATCCTGATTAAAATAATGGCTAATCTGTCTCGTTCTTGCGCCTAATGATGACGGGGGAATCTGAGTCGTGGACGAGTTCTTAAGCTAAGTGTCGAGTCGCCACGACCAACTCGGCTGATTTGCTTGCAGAAGTGGGAGACTCGGACGAACAGAGGAGTGGCGTGGTGTCAAGTTAAACAAGGCTATTGGCCCTTCTGAAAACGGCCCGTACCCTATTTGTCTCTGGTCATTGCTTCGTCCCTTTCACGACACGAAATTCAAATCCTCAATTTCTCATTCGTCCAATAACTGATGAAAGGCAAAACGATGCGATTTAAATTGTCTCGTCTCAATTGTTGCATCCTCATTTCGTCCTAATTGTTGTATCCTCATTTTGTGTTTTTAAACGAGACTATCGTACAGAATTACTTCATTGTGAAGCAATTGGACCAAATCGCCTCATCTAACTCCACGACCCTAATGTATATCTACCCAGATGTTAAGAAAACGACAGTTCTTGTGATTTCATCTACCTTCAACCAGATGTAAGATCAGTACCATAAATTGTAATTGTATAATCTCTTCTAGCAGAATTCAAATCCAGACAACCTTTCCCTGAACGGTATGATTAACATTACGCCATTGTTATTACTGCCTCTGAAGTCTCCCTCCACATCCAAACATCCCTTCTTCCCTCCCTTGGCTTCCACTGGACATTCTGTTTTGCTAGTCAATTACGTTGCTCTTTGCGTGCGGTTCTTGCTGTCTCAAAAGAAAAATAAAATTTTCTGATTTTCCACCTGGCAGGTCATGAAGCTCATTTTCTGATTTTCCTATT